TATTATCATAAATATATAAATACTACTATTCGTGGGTAAATATCTATACACATTAAACCTCCTATCCAATTAGTTCATGGGACCCAAATGATTGGTCCATCACTACTATCCATATCCAACTCCTTTTAAAATAAAATAAAATAAAACAAATAATTTAAATACAAATAAACACATAGCATGTAAATAAATAAATACACATCATCACTTAGCATTTAAACAAATCAATTCATACCAATAATTAATTAAAATAACATTTAAGCACATAAAATAATTTAAACAAATAATTCAATTAAAAGCATATAAACAAATAGCCACGTAATCAAATAAATCATTTAATCAATTAAAAATGCAATAAAATAATAAATTAAATACCGAGACTATCCTTTTAAAATTAGGGGTATTACATCCACTTACACCATCACTAAAATATTACTCATTTACCACATATTCATTTACGTAAATTAACCCAAGGCATTATCAATGTCTCATTTAATCCAATTACAATTGTAATTGTACAAAACCCAACCATCCAACAACAATAAAATACGTGGTGCATGACAATATATATATATATATAAACAACATTTTAAGATACGAAATAATAAACGTATTTCATACATTACAAGTTTAAGACCGTTAACATATTGATTACAACGGCACTTTACAAATAAATTACATCCACCAAGCATTAATTACAAAATTGTCAAAAATGTATCCGCCAATCTTAGCTATACTTGTGAGGTCCATCTTCAACCACGTCATGGTCATACCTTAAAAAATGATAATAATGGGTGAGCACAACGGCCCAGTAAGAAGTGCCTAAAACGTACTCCTTAATGACCCCTTCAATCCAAACAAAGAATAGCGTATAGAGAGGGAGGTCATATTTATTTTGGGGAAAAACATACCATCACTTACAATCTACTCATCATAAGTGCAATGTTATGTAAATCCATGTTATAAGATGTCACTCCCCATTTCCAAAACCCTTTTTTCCAAAATAATTTCCTTCTCCTTCCAATAACTCAATTTCCCCTTTCCCTTACCCATGCTAATGTATGAATGCTACATACATTTCAGTACTATGAAAACTTATACATTACATCACAATCATATTCGCATGCTTTATCTATCAAGTACTACCACAATTCTCATGTTATCAACTATACAACCATAGCATGTTAACATATAGAACATAATTCATATTTGCAAGAAACTAGCATAATAATAAGATTCATATGAAACTTTTCATGGAAAAACACCCAACAACCATAACAAGATTCATAAGAACCATAGCATGTTATCAACTACACAACCATAGCATGTTAACATATAGAACATTATTCATATTTGCAAGAAACTAGCATAATAATAAGATTCATATGAAACTTTTCATGGAAAAACACCCAACAACCATAACAAGATTCATAAGAACACCCAACATACTTTTCATAGAAAATTTTTAACAACCATAACAAGATTCACAATTTCCACATACTATACTCACATTATAGAAGATAACTCACTAATCAAATGTTGTACGGTTTAGTACTCCTACCTTAACAAATATAGCCAAAGCTTCCAAAAGCCCCAATTTCGAATTCCTCAAAATCACCTAATCAATAATCTGCTTCGATCAATACATAGGCCTCGATGCGCTCATCAACTTTGCCTTCAGTGGCCAAGTTGAAATCCAAGTGAAAGATGATGAAATTTGAGCTTAAATATATGTGATTTAGAGAGAGGAATATTTCTTGTAGAGAAGGAGTTTCAGCGTGAGAAAAACAATGATATGGAGATGACCATATGTGGTCATCTGTAATGAGGGAATATAAAGGTGGGTCCCACTTGCTTAAATATCTTCTTTACTAATATTATTATACATATACACAAATTAAATTACAACCACACAATCTAACATATTTAAATATGCACAAAATAACGATGCATGAAATGCAATGGACCTGAGACACAACATCCGTGCTCAACAACCAAGGTAGTGGGTTCCACCGAACCTCCTAGTCTGAAAAACGAAAAAATGCTGAAATGGCAACCAATGCATTTCCAAGAATCTTGAACTCAGGGAAATGCTCCACCCACTTTCAAAACACACTCGACACACCCCCACAGTGTCCAGTATATAAAACGAGGCAAATGATTAAAATAATCTAGAAAATCAAAAAAATTCCCAGAAAATGAAAAATAGGAAAAATCAGAAACGTCACATATTATATATAATGTATTTAAAAGTAAAAATATATGTGAAAATAATATTAAAATTCAAGTTCGAATTGACTCGGGTTGCAAGTACTTCAACCCAAGCCCAAACCTAATTAAATTCAGATTGAGATGTTTCAACCCAAGCCTAACCTTAATTATAAAAATGATTGCCCAAACTAGTGAAAAATCAGGTTAGGCTCGGGTTAGGTTCAGGTTATCCAACCCAAGTTGCATCCGTAACTGGAGGATTGAATTATAAAGAGTTTGGGCCCTTGGAGGAAAAAAGAATTAGGATGAATGAGTTAAATTTCTTTTTTCCCGTTGAAAAAAAAAATCATTGATAAAATTAATTTACTTACCATACAAAATAATTTACATAATTTGTACATTGTACTGTATAAATAACAAGGTGTAATATTGTGATGAAATAACAGTTTTATAGTAATTAATTAGAGAGATGGCAAATGCACTTGCTTTTTCTTCTAATGCGCTCTTCTTCTTTTTCTTTATTCTCTTTTTGTCTCTTCATTTAATTGACAAAAATATTCATGACATCTATAATATAATACAAAATAGAAAATTATTTCTCGACCTTATTAGGAGGGCTGAAGAGTCGCACAAAAAAATCGGTTAGAGTATTATAAGATTATTCTGGTGGTGGAATAAAAAATAACAAAAACATATTTGATTTATGTTGAATAATAGTTAATAATAGGGGTGCACATGGTTCCATTTTGTGCGGTTCTGGGTGGAATCGGAATTGAAACGGAATCGTGAGAAATGGTTCCTTAAATTTTGGAATCGGAACCACTAAGAACCAGTTCTTGCGGTTCCGGTCCTAGCCCTTGCGGTTCCGGTTCCTAACAGTTCCTAACCAAAAATTGGAACTGGAACCGTTCCCTAACGGTTCCTTAATTTTGGTACCGAAACTAGAATCAGAATCGCTATGGAACTGGTTCTAGTGATTCTGGTTTCGATTCGGTTCAGTTCCAATTCCAAACGATTCTACGGTTCTTTTGTGCACCCTAGTTAATAGGTAAATACTAATCACTTTGAAGAACTAACTTTAACTGTTTAAAAATAATACCATACAAATGCATTTTAAGTGACTATTGGATCCCACTTGAGAAGTTAATCGACAAACCAAATAATACCTTAAATTTTTTTTTCTCCATTGCCCAACTCATGTTATCCACCTCCATCTGATTTGAAAATGTTAAATATATGTTTTCATAAAAGTCATATCATTTAATTAAATTTCATAAACTCTCCTTTTGATTTGAAACTGTTAATGTATGCTTTAATAAAAATCATATTTGACATTATTAAATATTATTATTTATTATTTTAACGGTTAGAATATGGATTGTGTATAAAGGAACACCTTTCCTCTATTCTCTCTCTCAGCCGCTTGTCCCCATTCCGTTTTGCTCCCTGCTCCCTTCCATGGGAGTGGGGATGTGCCCTTGCTTGCCTCTCACATGTTAATAACTTCAACGTGTCTCAATAAGTTTGCCCTGTGGGTGATTTTCACGTCGTTTTTTTGTTTTTGTGTGGCTAGATCTGCTTTTGTTTGGTTTATTTCCGGCTCGACAGGGTGGATCTGTTGTTTTCCCTTTGGCTAGATCTCTGATCTAGGTCAATTTTTGTTTTTCCCAGCTTGATTTGATCTTGTACGAGGTTGAGTGTGCGAAAGTGCCTTGTGGATACAGCTTTAGAGCTGTTGTCTTGATGATGATTTGACCTTTGGTCACTCCAATTGCTGCTCTTCTCCTTTAGTGGTTTCTATCCTAGAGCGGTGGCTCTTTCTCAACAAATCTGGATCTCGTTCTTTATTTTTCTTGTTTTGCTTCATGATTGTATGCATTTATCTGGCTTGACTTATGCCTCTGTACTACCACTTTGGCTTCGCTTTTGTGCCTTTCAAATGATAAAAATAAAAAATAAAGGAACCTCTTCCATGTTTTTTTTAAAGGACACTGTGAATGTATTTCTTACTTAAATTATTATCATCTCATTTTATTATTTTTTCTAAGTTTAAAAGTAATGACACAAAGACACTTTATTTATAAAAAAAAAAAAAAAAATCAATAATTAACTCATTTGCTCATTAGCCACTTTGAACTCTTTGATAGTTTGCAAATTTTGAATATGTGCAACCACAAATCATTCATATTAAGTTTACTTATGCTATATTTGGCGATACCAAATCGACACTTTGAATTTGAGATTGGAGAAAATTTAGTACAAATTTTGAACTAAACTTTCTCCAATCTCAAATTCAAAACACTGATTCGATACTTTCAAATATAAATTTTTGTATTTTGTGATAATCGAACTCAGGACTTCAAAATTTACGATTTATCCAAAAAGTGATATTGAGAGTTTTTTTTTTTTTTTGTTTGTTTGTGTGTAAATGTACATAAAGTGGGATTCCAATTCGAGCATATAAAATTATTTTATTTTTTTTTGTAATAAGTGGCTAGGTGAACATGGATGCATGTGCCATTTTATCTCAAAATTCACATTTTCTTTCTCAATTCATATTACCTAACTTTGTTACTTAAATTGTGTTTTACGTATTTATTGTGAATTTTATGTATTTAATTTTTGTGTTTTATTAACCCATAAAATTTCCTTTCATAAGATGCCCATTATCATCATCCAAATTACAGTAACGCTCCAGATTCAAAATTCTCCAACTTTCCACTCCTTTCTTTGAACAAAAGAAAAGAATAGGAGAGAGAGGGGTTTATAATTATATATTTATATATCTATATATAAATACGTAGACACACAAAACATGTCTCAATTTCTCCCTCTCTCTCTAAAACTCTCTCTACTCTCTCTCTAGCTTCGTGTTCATCGTCCGAGTCCCCCATGGCCGCTCTGCAATACCTAGATTCTCTACGCAATGCCCATCCAGAGCTATCTGATTGGTACAATACCTTAGCAGATCTGTACCAAAAGAAGCTATGGCACCAGCTCACTCTCAAGCTCGAACAGTTCGTCGCTCTCGCTGTTTTCCAGGCCAGTCTCTTCAATTTCGATTCCTGCACTGTTTTCAGTGACAATTTCTATGTATATATGTGTATATATAAGTAAATATATTGTTTAACTATTTTTGCCATGTGATGAGTTTGGACTTGGCGAATGTTAGGGCTTTTGATTGTCTGGTGTAGGTGGAGACGATGTGTTTTGTTTTTTTTTTTTATAACTGAGATTAGGGTTTGGAGATCTCGTTAGGGGTCATGGTTGATTTTGGAAAATTAGGGTTTAATTTGCTCTAGATATTGTCGGTGTCCCTAAAAATGGTTAAGTTGCTATTTATTTATTTTTTCAGGTTTACAAGTTGTTATTTGGTTTTGAAAGTATCGAAGGGAATATAGTGAAACCAAAGTTGAATATTTAGGTGGTTATATTTCAAAGATGGAGAATTTAAACCAACCGAAGGAATCTTATAGTGCCTTTTTTAGGATATAAAATTCAATTTGTGAATTTTGTAGTTTGAAAGGAGGAAAAAGCAAAATTGAAGGCATACTGAACAAAAACTAGGAAACCCAATTTTTTTGTTAGAATCTTGCGGGTGAACAGAGAGATACTGATATGTACTAGTAGAACACTAGTCCAAAGGTTGTGGTGTATATGCAGCTATATTTCTATTTCCATATGCGATGTTGGATATATATGGGAAAATTTCCAAATTAATGGTTTAAACATCTTTGGAGATCCAATTAATTTGTTGATGAGGAAATACATGACCCCTTATCTTGCATTGATCACAAGAAACATGTTCTATCCAAGAAGAAATGATATTTAATATCATTTTTCTCAATATAAAATATTATAAAATTTGTGAATTTTATTGTAGGATTTGTTGGACTGTCATTTTTCACAGTGTAATGTGGACTCTTGAGTTTCTTTCCCCCTTCCCGTGTTGCATTATGTGAGAACGTTCTTTTGCTTGCTATTTCATGTGTTGAATTGTATATTGTCATTAGTGAAAATGCACTTATCAAAAAGATAAATAAGCTGTTTTAAACAAAATGTGTGTATGAGCCTAGATTGATCAATTACTTCCTCCTCCAACTCTCTGTCAGTTCTCTTTTAATTTTTTTGTTTTGACTAATATTTTTTAAAATTTTTTTTGGCATGCTCGCCCATGGATGGGAGGGCCATTGAAGGTTTCTACTTTATGAAACTTTCATATGTTCTTTATTTTCACTCTTTTTAAGTCCACAATACTCTCTTTCATTTTCTTGTATAGTTGTATTGAAGATCATATGGCGTGTGCAACAATTTACAATTTTGGTTCAATAATTTGTTTGTTCCAATTGGAACATTTTAAATGTCCTCCTTTCTTTATTCCTTTAGTTTTTCACCTATAATGGATAAGAAGCTACTGTCATCACTAACTACTGGGGTTACCATAGATGGCTCCTATTGTTCAGGTGGATAATTTGGTGGGTTAACTCGGTGTCCCTAATTTCCCATATGTGGAAAATTTGCTTATAGAGTAATTTCGATTGGTGAGTGTTTTGTGTTTGAACCAAACTAGTCCAATGGTCGGTTGTATTAGGTTTCCAAAGAAGCACTTCCAAAATATTCCTCTTGAGATTTTGTGGAATTTTTTATTGGGTACAAACTTTGAATTTATGCTGCAATGGCATTATTCTCTGTAACAAGAAACTATTGAAATGGTTTGTAAATAAAATATAAGTTTTGTTGTTGTTAGAATGTTTATGTATATATATATTTATGTTGGGTCATTATGTAATTACCCATAGTAGTTAGGATTATTGTGTAATTAAGTAACATTGTGTAATTAGGTTATAACTATTTTCCTTTATATAAGCCTCATTTTGGCTTAAGGGTAATACACAATATATTGATACAAAATACTCTCTCTCTCTCTCTCTCTCTCTCTCTCTCTCATGAATTAGAACATGGTATCAGATCTATATGAATTCATGGGTGTGGGAAACGACAATTTTGTCGTTCTTATATGAGATTGGAATCGCGATCGGAATCGCGAGTGTGTTGGTGGTGTCTTTGCCGAAAGTTTTGGTCGCCGGCAGGTTGAGAACCTCATTCGTCGTCGTCGTCGTCGTCCTCAGATCTGAAGCCTCATTTGTCGTCGTCAGATCTGAAGCCCCTTTGGCTGCTCGTGTTGTTGCGGCTTTGGTTGTCAGCAAGCTTGCCGACATCCACCGTCGTTATTTGCAGAGGTGAGGCTTTATCGATTTGTCTTTTCTCTTGGTCGGAAATTGCAGAGGTTCTGATTCGGTGTGGTGCCGCTGATTATTGAGTTGGCTGCTACTTGTGATTGGGTTGCCGTTGTCGCTGAGTGCTTGCCGGCGTCTGTCGATGGGGTTTTGAAGAAGAACAACCGTGTTTGGCTACGCGGTTATACTATTCCAACCCTGGTTTACTAAAACCGGGATATTAGAGACCTGGTTTTGATCTAGCCCAGTTCGCCCAGGCCCGAACTGGTTGCTTAGATCCGACCCGACTGCCCAGATCCTACCCGACTGCAGATCCGGTTAGAATACAGATTCTGCAATTTTTTTAGGTTCGTTTTTTTTTTTTTTTTTTGTTATCTTCTCCATGGCTGCCAGTTCAGACTTGTTATCTTCTACCTCCTTCAATCTTCCCATGACTTCAGTCAAGCTTAATGGCAAAAATTACATTTTATGGGCCAAGTCAGTAGCCATTTTCCTAAATGCCAAAGGCTTTGGCACTCATTTGGTTAAGGATAAACCCAAAGCTAGTGATGCTGATTTCAGTTCATAGGAACAAAGGGATGGTCAGAACATCTCCTTAATGATGAATTGTATTGAACCCCATATTAGCTCCAACTTGTTATATTTGGACACTGCCAAGGAGATATGGACCCGACTCCAATAGTTATATTCAGGTGCTGGTAATATAATCAGAACTTATAAGGTGTGTTGTAAAGCATAAAACAGAAGCAAAGAGAGATATGAAACACGAAGAATACAAGAATATTACGTGGTTCAGACACTAGGGCCTACATCCACGGCACAAAGAGCCCAAGGGGCTACATCACTTTATAATATATTCTCTCTTAATCTTTGTATACAATGATCACCTCTATTTATAGGTGAAAGAATAGAGGTGATAAATATGAAAAATACATTAATGGAAGATTCCTAAAATCAATACCATAAATCACTCTAATCAATATTTTATCATAGGCTAAAATCTCTCCTATGATATTCTCATATCAAATATTCTGTCAAGGAGTAATTTAAGAGTTCCTATAATAATATTTTTCAAATATAACATCTTCTAACACTCCCCCTCTAGCTGAAGGGTGTATGGAAATAACGCTCAGCTTGCCTATCAAATCATGAAACAAATCATTTTCCAACGATTTGGAAATAGACAATAAAACTGCTAGAGACACGCTGAATGCGAAGAACAATGCTACCGAATACACCGGTAGCCCAAACAAGTCCACATAGCACCGAACACGTGGCGAAGGTGACGAACAATGGTACCGAACACACTGGCAATCCAAACAAGTCCACATATCACCGAACACATGGCGAAGGTGACGAACAATGCTACCGAACACACCGGTAGCCCAAACAAGTCAATAAAATTGCCGGAGACACGGGAAAGGCAAAAACATTATCGCCGAACAAACCGGCAGCCCAAACAAGGCACAAATAGCACCGAGAGACCCTTAGCAACATTTTAGATGCTAAGGGAATACCCCAAAATAGGGGTCTGAACCTAGGAAGAGAAATTAGGCTCTGATACCATGTTGTAAAGTATAAAACAGAAGCAAAGAGAGATATGAAACACGAAGAATACAAGGATATTACGTGGTTCAGACACTAGGGCCTACATCCCGGCACAAAGAGCCCAAGGGGCTACATCACTTTATAATATATTCTCTCTTAATCTTTGTATACAATGATCACCTCTATTTATAGGTGAAAGAATAGAGGTGATAAATATGAAAAATACATTAATGGAAGATTCCTAAAATCAATACCATAAATCACTCTAATCAATATTCTATCATAGGCTAAAATCTCTCCTATGATATTCTCATATCAAATATCCTGTCAAGGAGTAATTTAAGAGTTCCTATAATAATATTTTCCAAATATAACATCTTCTAACAAGGTGTGTAGACAATTTTTTGACCTCCAGCAAGGGACTCACAGTTTAGAAGAATACCTCTCACGAGCAATGGGACTTTGTGAAGAAATGAACTTGTATCAACCCATCACCTCTGATGTGAAAAGCATACAACAACAACGTGAGGATTTTAATGTTGTTCGGGTTCTCACAGGATTGTCACAAGAGTATAAACCTGTTCGAGCACAGATTTTGGGTAGCCCTGCACTTCCCTTTCTTCCTGATATGTTATCCAGACTCCAGCGTGCTACTTTATCTAGTGGCGCTTTAGGGGGTGCTTCAAGTGGTGTCACTGCTCCTCCTAGCAGTGAACGTTCTGGCTTAGTTGTGAACCAGGGTGGCTTTCAGTCTTCTCGTGGCGGTGGTGGTCGTTTTACTCGTGGCTGTGGTCGTGGTCGTGGCAGAGGCAGAGACTCAAAACTTTGCACTCACTGCGGTCTTACTAATCACACTGTCAATTACTGTTGGGATCTTCTTAGGAAACCGCCACCTTCCTCATATGCACATCAAGTGACTTCTAATGACGGGGATTCTTCTTTCTCTGCCACACCCACTGCTCCACATGTGGGTGTTGAGACTGCTATGGTCACGATTCCCCACGATGAGTATGCTCAGTTTCTGTCTCAACAATGGCCTTCCACCTCATCTTCCATGGGTCCTTTACCCAATGAGGTAGTGCCCTTGCATGTCTTTTGTCCTCTAGTCAGAGTCCTTGGATTCTTGACTCTGGCGCATCCGATCACATGACTGGTAGTTATCATCTCTTATCTGATTTTCAGTCTGTTCCTTCCTCTCAAAGTGTTACTCTTGCTAATGGATCATCAACTAAAGTTTTGGGTTTGGGAACTATTCATCTTACCTTTTCTATGTCCCTTTCCTCAGTGTTATATGTTCCTCAATTCCCTTTTAATTTGTTGTCCATTAGTAAACTTACTAAATCTCTTAACTGCTCCGCTACATTTTATCCCACGTGTTGTCTTTTTCAGGATCTCAAGACGAAGAAGAGGATTGATACGGGACATGAAGTAGGTGGCTTGTATTACTTCGATCTTGCACCATCTCCCATGGCTCTTCAATCATCTTTGTCTTCTTTCCAGTGGCATTGTCGTCTCGGCCACCCATCATTATCAGTTTTGCAGCGTCAAGTCCCCGGTCTTAGTCGTATTGAGTCCATGTCTTGTAAAACATGTCAGCTTAGTAAGCATTGTCGTGTATCTTTCAAACTGAGAGCTAATAATCGTGTTGCTAGTCCTTTTCAGTTAGTTCATTCAGATGTATGGGGACCAATAAAACATATTTCTATTAATGGATTTCGTTATTTTGTGACTTTTGTGGATAATCATTCTCGGATGACTTGGTTGTTTTTAATGTAAAATTGTTCTGAGGAGTTCTCTATTTTCCAAATATTTCGCAAAGAAATAAAAACTCAATTTGGGTGTTCCATTAAAGTTTTACGTTTTGACAATGCCAAAGAATATTTCTCGGACCCTTTTGAGACTTATTTTCATGCTAAAGGCATCATTCATCAATCATCTTGTACTTATACTCCGCAACAAAACGAGTAGCTGAACGTAAAAATCGTCATCTCCTAGAAGTCTGTCGTGCCCTTTTATTTCATATGCATGTTCCCAAACGGTTTTAGAGTGATGCTGTTCTCACGGCATGTCATCTTATTAATTGGATGCCCTCGTCAGTGTTAAAAGGTAAATCTCTCATTCTGTTCTATTTTCCGACTCCGCATCGTTTAATCTTAGTCCGCGGGTCTTTGGATGTGTGTATTATGTCCATAACCTTGGACCCGGTCTTGAGGAACTCGACCCTCGTGCCACTAAGTGTGTTTTTCTTGGGTATTCTCGCACTCAAAAGGGCTATCGTTGTTATAGTCCTCATTTTCAACGCTATTTCACTAGTGCTGATGTCTCATTTTCTGAGTCTCTCCCATATTTTTCTGATTCTACTACTCCTCTCAATATTACTTCTGAGCCACCTATGCCAACGGTTCCCACTCTGTTTCCTGCTTCCGCACCTCCTCGCTCCGTTGTCCTATTGCAGGTTTATACTTGACGACCTCGACCGCCTGCTTCGCTCCCTCTATCTCCTTCAGAGTCTTCGGATCTGACGCCTTCACCTGATGATTTGCCTATTGTTCTCCGTAAAGGTATTCGGTCGTGTGTTACTGCACATCCCATTTCTAACTTTGTCTCATACTGTCATATTTCATCCTCTTTATCTTGTTTTTTATCCAAAGTGTCTGCTACTTTTGTTCCCATGACTTTGCAGGATGCTTTTTCTGATTCGGGTTGGCGACAAGCCATGGTAGATGAAATGGATGCCCTTCACCGTAATCGAACATGGGATCTTGTTTCCTTACCTCCGGGCTCCAAAACGGTTGGTTGTAAGTGGGTCTACACAGTTAAATACTTTCACGATAGGTCTATTGAGCAGTTGAAGGCTTGTCTAGTGGCAAAGGGGTACACTCAGACTTATGGTGTTGATTATGATGAGACTTTTTCCCCCGTTGCTAAGATTTCTTCTATTTGAGTTCTTATTTCCATTGCTGCCAATTGTAACTGGCCGTTGTTTCAATTGGATGTCAAAAATGCCTTCTTACATGGTGACCTGGTTGAAGAAGTTTATATGGAGCAACCACCTAGGTTTGTTGCTCAGGGGGAGTATCGTCACACTGTTTGTCGCCTTAAAAAGGCTTTGTATGGATTGAAACAATCTCCACGGGCTTGGTTTGGAAAATTCTCTGAGGCGGCATTAGAATTTGGTTTTAACAGATGCCAAATCGATCATTTGGTATTTCACCTGCGCACTAAAGCTGGCTTCATTTTTCTTGTGGTGTATGTAGATGATATTGTGATCACAGGTGATGATTCTGAAGGCATTGCTAAGTTGAAGTTGTTTCTGCAAAATCGATTCCACACTAAAGACTTGGGTAAACTTAGGTACTTCTTGGGTATTGAAGTTGCTAGATCCAAGGAGGGTATAAGTTTATCTTAACGAAAATATGTGTTGGACTTGCTAGAAGAAACGGGTATGTCAGTTGGTCGTCTGGTTGATGCTCCTATAGATTCAAATACAAAACTTGTGTCTGATGAGGGTGATCTATTTAATGACCCGGGCAGATTTCGTTGCCTTGTTGGGAAATTAATTTATCTCACTATCACTCGACATGATATTTCATATGCAGTTAGTGTTGTGAGTCAGTTCATGGGAGCTCCTAGAATGCCACATTGGATTGCTGTTCTTTGGATTATCCGATATCTCAAGCAAGCTCCAGGTTTTGGGTTACTATACAAATCAAATAGTCATCTCAGGGTGGAAGGTTTTACAGATGCTGATTAGGCTGGTTCTCCTTCAGATAGGAGATCTACTACAGGCTACTGTACATTTGTAGGAGGAAATCTTGTTACATGGAAAAGTAAAAAGCAAACGGTGGTAGCTCGATCTAGTGCTGAAGCTGAGTATAGGGCAATGGCCCATACCACTAGTGAGTTGACATGGATATAACATTTTCTAAAAGAACTGGGGTTGAAAGTTGAAGCTCCTACTCCATTGTTCCGTGATAATCAAGCAGCTGTTCACATTGCATCAAATTCCGTGTTTCATGAGAGAACCAAAGATATTGAGGTTGATTGTCACTTCATTCGAGAAAAAATATTAAATGGGAGCATCTCTACTCCATTTGTGATGTTTGAAGATCAACTAGCTGATATGTTTACCAAAGCGGGTCATAACCGGTTAAGGAATATCTATTCCAAGCTGGGATTATTTGATATATATTCTCCAGCTTGAGGGGGTGTTAGAATGTTTATGTATATATATATTTATGTTGGGTCATTATGTAATTACCCATAGTAGTTAGGATTATTGTGTAATTAGGTTATAATTTTTTTCCTTCATATAAGCCTCATTTTGGCTTAAGGGTAATACACAGTATATTGATACAGAATACTCTCTCTCTCTCTCTCTCTCATGAATTAGAACAGTAGTTAAATTCAGTATAGATTCAAAGTAAAGTGGAGTGAGTTCCCTGAATCCTAATAAATCATACAATGTTTGCAGTCCTTTGGAAAGGACAACAATCTCTTAAGAATTACATTTAACCAGCGTTGCAGATTTCTTTCTGGGATACTCCTTCAAAAGCAGGTGTAGGTGTACAGTCACTTGTCTTCTATCTTTGCCATCAGTTTTAACTTTTAACCAGCTCCAAAGATTTTGATTTTAAGATTATAGCCTTCCTTTCCTTCAAAAGGCTCCTGAATGTGGAAGAGTGCATGAAGCTGCTTCCTCAGCACTCTTCCTTCAGGCACCCAGGCCTTTTTTTTGCCAACTGCCTATGGACCACTGTTATGCCGAAAGATGTGCTAAACTAAAAGCAAGCATTCTAAAGAGAGAGAGAAGTAGATGATTTACAATGTTAAGACAGAGGTTACTGATATCTACACATTTTTTTTTTTTTTTTTGGGTGGTAGAATAAGGAGCTATTAATTTGCTAAAATTGTCCTGTCAAGTTGATTTTTTTGCTTGTACAGTATGGGGACCATTGAACAGTCAATCTTGATTGGACCATAGGGAGGGAAGTTGTGACAATCAGTCAAGTAGAATGATATAATTAGTACTAAATGGAAGAACATATAAGGTTAGTATTTTTCACCCCCTAGCTATTGATAGGTGGTGCGCTGCCTACTTAAGTTGCCTGGCTTATTGGATGTTGCTGAAATTTGTTAATGTGATCTACAACTTATAGATGTCATTATCTTTTCTAAATATGTTTGAGCTTGACTGAAGGCATGTTACAGACACTATTTTTGTGTATATTTGCTTTTGCGACATGTAACACAAATTTTTTATATTTGTTTTATTTTTTTATAAATTTCAGGCTGGTGATGCTCTTATACAGTTTTATCATAATTTCATCACGGACTTTGAGACTAAGATCAATCTTCTCAAGCTTGCGCATTTTGCTGTCATAGTTTCTCGACAGTATGCAGAGAAAGAAGCTGCCATTAGTTATCTTGAAGGGGTGATTGAAAAGCTTCGAGCTACTAAAGAGATGCGCATAGAGGAGCCGATCCTTTATATTAAGATGCAAATAGCTATCTTCGAGCTTGATAAAGGGAACCAAAAAGAGAGCAAGAAACTTCTAGAAGATGGGAAGAGTACGCTTGACAGCATGACTGATATTGATCCAACTGTATATGCAAACTACTATTGGGTTTCATCTCAATATCATAAATCTCGCCAGGAATTTGCTGAATTCTACAAAAGTGCTCTTCTTTATTTGGCATACACATCAGTAGAATCTCTATCAGAATCATTTAAGCTGGTAAGCAATTATCTATTACGTTACTAATAATTTTGAAAATATTTGAGGCATTTTATTACTGTATGATTTTATTTGCTGTCACTCAGTAAGATTATTTTGGCTTGTCAAATTAGTGGAAGGTTAAAATTTTGTTGTTATAAATGATTTTTTCCCAAAGATTTTTATTTTGCATGTTAAAATATTATATTTTTATTTATTTTCAATTTCTTGTAAATTTTAGTCACCTTTCTGTATTTTCCAGTTTTAAGCTCTAGTTTTGAATTGTATTTATTTAAAATGATCAATTTTCTATGTTATTATTGTGGTCAAATGTGGTATTGAATTAAAGATGGCTTTTGAAATCCAAATTTGTGCGATCAACTTTTTGCTTGGATGATGTGAGTGAATTTTATTTAAAGTGAAACAAAAATTACGAGATCTTCTGTAGTTAGAAGAATGATATGATAGAAGAGTTGTATACAGTTTCAAGCATAAAGTAATAACTTTGCATGAAAGTATCTCATCAAGGAAGAATGGATCGTTGTAATTTTTATGTTATTTGATTAATGTTGTTCAACTCGATAGATTTCTTCCATGGCCTGTTGAGCTTTCGATTTTTAAAATGAACTTAGTGATACTTTCTTGAATCATATTTTAGGATTTGGCATTTGATTTATCACTCTCTGCTTTGCTTGGAGAAAACATTTACAACTTTGGGGAACTGCTTGCACATCCAATTGTAAGTATATTGAAATTCTTGACTTTTTCCTCTTGTAGTTGAACTTGGATTACTTTGACCGCCGTCAAGATGGTTTTAGCTGTACAGCTCTATCTCTTGTTTACTAATTCTCGTGGAAATATATCTGTTTGTTCACCCTTATTGCCTGCGAAGATACCTCAAAGCACTTGATTGTAAGATCTTTTCTTTATGGGTGCACTCCCTTTAGTTGAACTTTTTCGCTTTATGATTTGGTAGGCTGTGATCAGGTGCATGGGGTCAGGTCAAAGTGCAACACATGCCCGCTAAGGGTTTTGCAAGTTGCCCCAGCAAATGCTGTCTTATTTTGGGTTGTGGATGCTTAAGTCGACCAGTGGCTAGATCATATTTAGTCAAGATCTTTGGGATGGAGTGGAATGATTATCTTTTTTTTTGCATTTTTGATCAACTAAATGTACTTAAAATACTATGTTTCAAAGTTTTAATGATAAATGGAAGGGTTTAGGGTTCAAAACCACATCAATTATTTGATTAAGAATGACAAGATCTTCACACAGTGCATTACATCATACAAATAATAAAATAAAAAGTTGAAGTAATTCAATTAAACTCTTTTCTACTTCTTATTGTTTCGATTAATTTTTCAAGGGTTGTGGCGTAAAAATAATTAAAACAATAATAATGATAAAATAATCAAGTCGTAGTTTAAGCATGGACACTTTTTGCCACTGTGCCCAAAATGCATTAATGTTGTGGTGTTATTATGGCAAAGTTTAGATGCTCCATGTTTGCAGCGGTGATGAATTTTCCTCTGTTAAGGATTATCCTTTGGAAGGGTGTTCTTTATCTGTTTAGGTTCAATGGAAAGATTTACTTGTTTAGGCAATATTGGTTTGTGGTTAGTGTGCTGCTCATAAATATATTTCCTTCTCTATTTGCAATTGTAGAATAACAGAGAGGTTTCCAGAGCACTTTGTGAAACTCAAGGCATATGGTTGGAAAATTATTTTTAAGTTAAATCTGAATGAGTGGGATATTAATGTTTCCTGGAAGTTTGGTAGTATCTGGAATCTTTTTGTTTTTTTTTTTTTTTTTTTAAAAAAAAAAAAAAAAACTGAATTAGGGAAAATAGGAGATAAGGAATACCCAATTCCAAGGGTTCTTTCTCCTATGAACTATTTCTTTTTCTTTGGGGTTTGATCACTAATAGCAGACTAGGAGTGGAGTTCTACTTGCTGTGGACTTTCTAGGTGACTAACCGAGCCCTGTCAATTAGCAGGATAGTTAGTACAGTATTTCTCAGGCCCCTTGCATCAAGTTCAGATTGGAATTAGTGTTTGGCAATTTTGTTTTAACCAGCCACAGTTTCAAGTCAATGCATATTACATTCCATCAGGGTTTAACAAGTAATTAGCTGATATTTGGGTTTTAATTCAATATTAATTATGAATGTTTTGTGCCGACTTGTATTTCATTTTTTGTACTTGTTGATGAACCTGTAGGTTATTATATGGCATTATGTCCATGTTAAACCATCATATAAGGGAACATCCTTAATTAGTTTTATTATGAGATTACAAGACATTTCTGCACATCTTAAAGAATAGAAAAATAATGATGTTGAATACATTTATTATTGAATTGAAAGAAAAGGAATGATATTGATATATTTATAGAGGTCGAGAGAAAACTAATGTGACTAAATTAAATAAGCTTTAATACTATTTTTCGGCCCTATGCTATTTTACTCTTTGACAAGGTTCTTATTTTATTTTTATTATTTTTCTTTACCTTTGAGAAGTGACATGATTTTGTAGTGGTTAGTCTAGGTATGATGCTGATACCAAAAAGGCCATGGGGTTGAGGTAGTAAAAAATGATATGATGGTTATGATTTGACAGATAGTCTCATTTTGAATGGATTGAAATTCAAAATGATATTTAAGTAGCTGGCTCCATTTATCTGAAACAAGGACTTGGTTGGGTTGAGCATAAAACTTCGGATGTGTGTGTCCATGAAGCTTGTGAAATGATATGCAGAAACTTGGAACCAATTATGGGTTGCTCTACAGCCTCTACAGATAGTCTCGTTTTGGATGGGTTGATGCAAAATGAGATTTATGTAGCTGGTTCCATTATCTGAAACAAGGATTTGGTAGAGCATAAAACTTTGGATGCATGTATCCATGAAGCTTGTGAAATGATATGCAGACCCTTGGAACCAATTATGGGTTTCTCTACAGCAGTACAGCACTACAGCCTCTACTATAGTATGGGAGCTTTGATTTTGGAATCTAGTGGACATAGAATATTTGATATTAGTAATCAAATCTGAGCATTTCTTTTAGCTAATGCGGAATTGTGGAATATGAATCACATAGCTAATTGCAAATCAATTTGGATAAAGACTATTTGCTAGTATATATCTTGGACAATTTCTTGATTAAAATGTTTAGACACTCAAGTAATGCATGTTTGCAGTTCTGCAGTGCATCTTGATGCTCAATATGTGTAGCATAACAACGAAGAAGTATATATGACAGAAAATGTAAATGAGTCAAAAGGGTGGATGCTAGCACCGCGCTTCGATATGTGAAAGAGATTGTGCATCATTACTAGGGTTTGGTTTTATCCATAACCAGAATAAAATGATTAAAGAGATTGTAGGCTGAGGCTAATTGTGCATTAATAATGCTTTGACTATAAAATACAGATTCAGCAAACTTGAAGGTTAAACCAATGAGGATAGGATAAGATTCATATTCGAGAAAATTGTTGCTGAATAATGTATTAAAATTATTCGGAGACAGGAATAAGAATGAATAAACACGTTTGAGAAACATTTATCTAACTATGCAATCATGAAATTCTAATATTTTATTGAAATTTAGTGTTGAAGGCATTAATCTATTCTGTGGCCAATTTTCTGACCCTCAGACAAATAAGAGCACCGTTGTACTTTTGGCTGGCACAGCCTAGAACACTATGGCAATGGTAAACATATATAAGAGACAAGATGATTGGTTTCTTTGTCTTACGGTATTTTTACTGGTGGGTATGGTATGATTGCTATCATGAGACAAGATTGTATAGTTCAATGCTTGGCGGAAAGTGCAAAGGGAAGATTGTACTCTAAGCAAGCAAATTTTTTTTGGTGATTCTCACGATTTTATTCTTTCTTTCTTCTCGTTGTTCTACTCTTTTAATGGGACTGCATGTGGGTTAATGTTATAGTGAATGTTGTAAAATAAATTAAATTAAATGTTGGCCGGAACTTTGTTGCCTTCTTGCATTGTTTTCACGTGAGTTGGATGGCATCAATCCAGAACTAACAGTTGTTGACCTCTGTCCCTTGACAATTTCCCATACTATTCTATTTAGAAAAATGCTAAATTTGGCTCCTCATTTTGGCACTTCTTATTTACTAAATATTGCGCTATTGACATCTTTTATATGAGGATTATGACATCTTTTAAATTCTACAGGTAAAGAGTCTTCTGGGCACAAAGGTTGAGTGGCTCTACTACATTCTTGAAGCATTCAACTGTGGTGATTTAGTTCGTTATCAAGAATTATGTCGTGTGCATGGAACTGCTCTGAGTGCTCAACCAGCACTAGTGGAGAATGAGAAAAAGCTTCTCGAAAAGATTAATATTCTCTGCCTGATGGAAATCATCTTCAGGTGTGTTAGTAGGGTGAACTTTAAATTTTGATTTAAGGAAATCAATTATTAGCATTACAGTTTGTTACTGACTTCTGTAACATATGCTTTCTTGCAGTCGACCATCTGAAGATAGAACTATACCTTTAAGTACTATTGCAGAGCGCACAAAGCTTACTGTAGAAGACGTGGAATATCTGCTAATGAAGAGTCTTTCAGTAAGTACTCATGTTCATGATTTTTGAATAATGACAAAACTTACTGATTCATGGCTATAGAGATACATGTTGTATAAAGAATTGCTTCGTATCACTTTCTTGGGTATTGAAATTAAATGCCAGCATACTAAATTTTTCAGTTACCATTCCCTATTTGTTTACTTGGTCTCATTGTTGAACTTACTGGGAATGTAAATGTTCAAGTGAGGACTGCTATTTAATTGACGGTAGCATTAGCTAAATTGCACTGATGGAGAAAATGCTGCAAGCTTTGCCTAAAGAAAAAAGATTGTAACTTGTACAGTAGTAGAAACAAAATGGCTTGAAAAAGAAATTGATGTGTTAAGACTTTAGGAAATGTGGAATAGTCTCTTTTATGGTGGTATTAGGTCAAAGGAAAGCTTAGGTTTAGGAATTTAATTAGTGAAGGAAAAGTTGAAGGCTTTGAGAAGGGTGGAAATAGGATTCCTGTTGAAAGTGGTGATAGATTGCAAGAACTTCAGGAAGAAAGGTATGCTGAAAACTCTGGGCAGACGGTATTTTAGGTACATTAGATCATCTGTTTCCTTTTTTCCTCTAAATTTCTCTTTGTAAGGTTGCCAGATGACACTAAGTTTAACTAGGTACCCGACAGCATTTTCTAAATTACAGAGGTCCCATAATTTGGTTTCCAGAAGAGCTTAATTCTGATGGATGACCACTGAGAAAGCATATAGGGGGGAGCTACAGTAAAAAAAAAAATTTTTTGAGCCCACACCAAAAAAATTTTATTTTATTTTATTATTATAGTAAATTTTAGCCTTGCCAAAAATATATATATATATATATATATATATATATATATATATATATATTATTACTAGTATTAGCCCACCCCATTGGCAAATCCTGGATTCGCCCTTGACTGCAACTGTAGGTGACTGAGGCCTCATGATAATATCATTTTAGCAGCTACTTGAGGTTAAATGCTTTAAATGCTTGCCCATTTATCCAAAAGCTCAAGCTGTTGGGTAGTGCTACATACCTCCCCATTTATACCCAACCACTTTTCGATCCAGATCCGATGTGGGACAAATGACCCTTGTTACATTCTCCCCCACCCAAACTCGCAACGCTCTCGTTGCGGCTCAGGCCATCCTGCCTACCCGGGCTGGCTCACCTGGATGCTTTCCGGGCCGAGCACTTGGCGTAATACCGAATCAAGGATTGAGTTTGACTCTGATACCAACTGTAACGGGTAGACACTTGCCCATTTACCTAAAAGCTCAAGTTGTTGGGTAGTGCTGCATACCCACCTATTTATATCCAATCACTTTTCCATTCGGATCCGATGTGGGACAAATGACCCTTGTTACAATAGCACACATGATTCTCTCACTTGTAAATGCTTATAGAAGTTGTTGGGTGAATTTAGGTAGTGCTTTTCTCGTTTTCTTTAATTATTATTACTATTATTTTTTCCACTTTTTTTCATGAGCATCATTGTGAATGATTTCTTTAAATCAAAACACATGATTATCTATTTTTATAATCGTTCACTTGGAGCTTTTTCCTGGCCGTGTACTTTCTAGTTTGTCACATTTTTATATGTTTTATATGCTATTTGCTTGGCTTTCTGAAATTATAGGAAAGCTTCTCGGTCTATAGTTGAAAAAATGGGATTTTTAACTGCAGGTTCATCTTATCGAGGGGATAATTGATCAAGTTGAGGGAACAGTTCACGTTTCATGGGTGCAACCCAGAGTTTTGGGGATTCCCCAAGTCAAATCTTTGCGTGATCGCCTGGACAATTGGATGGACAAAGTACACACTGCTTTGTTATCTGTTGAAGCAGAAACACCCGATTTAGTGGCATCGTGATCTTTGTTCCTGGACTTCCTCCCTATCCTCTGTAACAATCTCTTATTGCCCAGAGAGAAACAGCTAGGTGCGGCAAAGATACGAAAAGAAGAGTGTTAGTTGCTTGGGCAAAGTTTGTAAGCTTCATATCGTATTTTGTCTAATCCCACATTTTTGGAAGGAGCAGCCTCTTCTTCTTGTACTTCAGCTTTTGAACTGTCTTTCTTATGGTGGCATGCCAAGAGACGTCGTGCGTCGATTAGAAAAAATGGCTGTCTTTTTATTCAAGAATGTTAATCAAACTATGTACTGTTTTTTTTTTTCCCCGGAGTTACAATCACATATGATCCACTGTTCAGTGGACAAGTGCATTTCTATTTGCAGCCTCTTTGCACAACATTTAATTGTGGTTCTGGTCTACGAACAACGCAAGTTGTATTGGTCCAATTCTACCATGGAATAAATAGGGCAAACATGGACAATATGTGTTCTTTATATACAAGAGTGTGCGTGAAGCAACCTATTGTCATGCCCTACCTCTCTAGTTGTATGCGTGAAGCAACTTATTGTCATGCCCTACATCTAGTAGTGTGTGCGTGAAACAACTTAATTGCCATGCTGTTAATCCGGTTAATTCTTGTTTTTACACGTGAGTGGGAGATGACTCATTAAATATGATGATATCATCATGATAAAAATTCCTTATTCACGTAAATTTAGTCGTGGATTGTCCGAAACTATATCATTACTCTTCTAAAGTGTAAACCAGAACTTTTGCATTTAATTTTGGTCAGTCACCTTGCAATCAGAAATAGGGTTCAGTGTTTGGTGATGTGGTAAAACTTTGGATTGAGAAGTGATGCGAGTTCAGTGTCTTTGTCCGTAGGCGAGGTTCGATTTCTTCTTCAGACATCATCAATGGTGAGGTTTCATTTCATCCGTTGAGAGGATGGTAATAACTTTAATGAAAAGGGTTTCAAGACTGCTCCTTTTGCCGGCAGAAGGGGTGGCTTAAACAGAATAAAGTTATTTGAGTCTGGCTCAGAAAGGAGCTGCCTTAAGAGGCCACCTTGATATTGGTTTGTGAGGTAGAAAAGTTATTTATTTAAGAAAAAAGCAACTTAATTAAAAGCTCTATGATTAAAACCAAAGGATTGAGGGGATATTTATTTAAGCAAAGGATCCTTTTTTTTTTTTTTTTTTTTTTTTTTTTTTTCATAAATTATAAAAAAAATAAACAATTATAGTAAAGATCTATTATTCTATTGTAAAATAGATTCATGGAAAAAAGGACGACGAAGAAAATTAGTCCTCTATTGTAATTTGTATCTCCTTCACTCTTGTTATCGCCTAAAGTTTTCTTCTTCCTTTGCGTGTGCGTATGCATAATATAAGGGTAAATTACACTTACCTCCCTAAAGTTTGGGCAAATTACATTCGGTCAGATATTTTTTTGTGCACTCAACGACACTCCTAACATTTTTTTCCCAACAGATTTGTTGACCAAATTTTATAAAATGATACTTTTGTCCTTCCCTTGTATAAAGTGTAATATAATATATTATTATAATATATAGACATTATTGACTTTTCATGTTCAAAGTCACTTTCCAACTATCGTGAATAAATATAGGAGAGATCAAAGTATTTATCCAAACCTCAAAAGAGGTCAATATAATTTGCGGTATTTACCCAATATATACAGCACTCCCCCCTACCATCCCCTCCTAAGGTAAATATTCTTCTACTCCGTAAATAAAATTGCTGCAAACCCATGTTGTAGTTAAAGGTGAAACAATTACAAGGATTTTTAATAGATAATTTTTTAAAATTTTTTTCTAAGAAAGGAAATCTCTCGCATTATGTCACTATTTTAGAATTTTATATATTTATTTTTAATAGAATAATTTATTTTTCTTGAAATCTACGAAAAAAAAGTAATACGTATGTGTATTGTAGCATATCTCCAAAACATGGAAAGAACATGACACAACATATGATTTATTTTCCTATTGAGGTAAGCTTCCGGTACAAGAAAACATGGTGATGGGCTGACGAAATAAACAAACATATCCAAACCTTTCACATCCATCAACACATCTTACAGGAGCTGTAATATACACTTGAATGGTACAGTAAAAACTCTTCAAAAAAACAGATTCAACTTCAAGCACCACCTCCAATGGCATTAAATCTGGTGTTTGAAAAAAATAAATAAGAGTAACCTTATTTGAATAATCACCTCCCCTTCTTATCTCTATCTACATAGTAAATATTCTAACCGTTATCGTTGTTGCTTCACTCTTGCCTGATGAACGGTGAGGAGCTCACGTCTGTACTGTAAAACGAATCCTCTTGCCCGCCATAGTAGTTGTCTTCCTTCTCTTCGTCCCACTTGAGAACCTCCCTTATGTACTTGAATGCATCGTCGATGTTCACTCTGTCCCTTGCCTTGGCTTGCGACACAAAGAGTTTTCGACCCGTGAGGGAAAAATAGAGGTCTTTGAACTTCATTGCAACGTAGTAGTAAGCTTGGTGAGCCAGTGACTGGTTGTTGTGATGGGGTCGCACTGGACTGAAATCGGTGAACCATTCACAGCCACTTAGAGGTACCCGATTGACCTTCTCCTCGAAGATATCGTACTTATTTAGAATCAACACAAAAGGTGTTTGCTTAAAGCAGGGATGTCCGATCATTGTTTCGAATAGCTCTTTGGTTTGCATCATCTTGTTTTGAAGTAGGACTCCACTGCCATTACTCTCCGGGACAACCCACATCTGATCGTAATCACTCAGGGCAACACAGAAAACTACTACACGGACGTCTTCAAACATTTCCACCCACTTGCAACCCTCGTTCATCCCCTTGGCATTTACTCTAATAAGTTGGTATCTATACACAAGAGGAGCAATAATTAAATGGTTAACCGAAACGAACAAAAATAATTGACAATTGAAATTTATCACCATTACAATGACTAGAAAATGGGGGGAGGGGGGTTGCTACCTCAATCCCCTTTTCCCACATTTAAGCTCCCTCTCTCTATTCCAAATCATTAGTGATACAATTTGATAGAGATTAAATTTACCATTCCCATATTCCTAGGTTTGCCTTTCTACGAAACAAGGTATGGTACGTCCACATATAACAAATTAAGCTTATGTAAACTCTACCAAATTATATAGGAACAGAATTATCCATTAACACATTCTCACTGTCTATTGAAATTTACTAGGGACGTAGGATTTAGCTAACCTTTTTCTCTAAGACCATTTCAGGAAATATATGGTAGCCGCATTGAAACTTAACATTTGCTCTAATTTTACAGGTGGTGTCTGTCATTCATAATTAAAGAAGTATGCTATTTATTCAACTCAATCAATTCACAGTAAAAATGGACCTGTGCTTTCCACACCTCTCATTCCTTTGACAAGTGTTATTGCACTAACAAATTTTCAGCCAAAATGAAGAGTACCGGGCCTATGTGGCAGCAGAGTAGCAAATTGTTTTGGGACAAATGATTGTAGATATCAGCAGTTGTCCTTTAACAATTATGGACCGAGTAATATACTGAAGAACAATTACCTGGTCAAAGGAGGGGGTGGAGCTTCCATATTGTCTGTGTAAGTTTCAGACATAGGGCTACGATCATCTAAGGAGAACTCCATGAAAGCCAAACCATTCCCCTGGGTGACCCCTTCTGCATAGAGTATGTCTCGCTCCAAAGGTTCGTATTCATTGCTTGATACCTCAACGGCCTGAAAAGAGAAGGAAAAATTGAGTATTCATCTATTATCAATTATGGTCTTTTACTTACTCATAGCCCAATCTGGAACTGGAAATTGATGGAAGACTAACGAATCATAAAATTAAACGAGAAGTGATGTGATTCAGATATCACTCGATTGAAGAGGTCATAGACCAATATTAGTCTCGTCGCCACAAAATGCCAGGAAGCATGAGGTCGGGGGAGCTTTATTTGCATGAAACGGATGCCCTTTACAAATCTGTTATAAACTAGGCTCGGCTGATTATCAGCTGATATGAAGCCGTAACAGTCGACAAGGCACAATAACCGCAGTGCGGTGCCTGAGGCATATAAACTCTATTTTTCTCCGCTTATCCATTTTTCTTTCTTCAAGCCAACACACGCTCCCTCCAAACACAGTCAAAATCTTGAATCAAAGCCTTCCAATAAGCTTTTTAAGTTTTAAACTATTTCATTTACAAATAATATCAATATAGGGTTGGCTCTAATCAACCTAAGAAACATGGTTACTGATTCGGTGACACAGCTAATCCTAAAAAATTAAGACACGGACACTGCGAATAAGAATATATATATTTTTATATATGTGACAATGAATGATAAGAGTAGTAATACATTTCATCAAATAAAAGAATTGTTGAAATATATAAATATTTATATATTTCAACACAAGAATATTTATAAAATTGTTGTAATCTAAAACTACGGCTTAACAAAATATTACAGTTGTATAAAGAATGAAAGAACAGGAAAAAGAAGAGAGAGAGAGAGAGAGTTGGTTGAAGTAGAATTTCTAAAATTAGAGCTTTACTTAAAAAAAAAAAAGGAAAGATAATTCTATTAAGAGAGAGAATCAATTGAAAATAAAGAAATAAGGAAACTAAGGTGGTGTTGAGAAAGAGAAAAAGAAAAAAAGCTCTTTGTTGATAATAAAATAGAGAACCTATAGAGCAAGAAATGGGTTTGTTATAGGGAAAAGAGGACAAAAAATAAAAAGGGAAGGATGATTTATTGAAGGAGAAGAAGAAGAAGGTTTGTCAGCACTCAGCAGTCAGGTTTCCATGGTCCATTTTATTAAGTTTGAACCTTAGTTGCGAAAGAAAGTAAGACTTTTACCATTCTCTTTGTGATATTTTACAATTTCAAACAAGTAATAACTATAAGAAGATCAAGTAGTAAATGAATTGCTTGATAAATTATGACCTTTATATATATATATGTTTTGACCTCCATTTTTTTGAGTTTGTTTTCAAAGAATTCCACATATCTTTTAACCCATCTTCTTTTTTTTTTTTTTTTTTTTCTTTATATATATATATAAAAAGGAGAGGCCTTTTAACTAGACACGTGTCCGCAGTGTGTAGGCATGTCTGTCACGTGTCTATTGCGCGTCCAAAAAATTATATATATCTAGACGTTTTTTTGGTGCGTCCGGCTATGTCCAACTCGTGTAAATGCCCAACACGGACACTTAGAAAATTTTAGGGTGTCTGTGCTTCCAGGGTGTTTTCATATTTAACTACACTTGTGGCTATAAGTAAAAAGTACAAATTAGCAAGCTTTTACGGTAAACAACTTATAATTCAATGCATAAGACCGTCACTCATTAAAATCAACTTTAAATTTGGAAGGAAAAAAAAAAAAAAAAAACATATTTATTAGACTATGGAGAAATTGGGTCAAGCAAGTCTGAGGCCTGGAGCAATAACTAAACTCTAGATATATACACTAGTTAGTATTCAACCATGTGAAAAAGGAGAGAATCTCCAGTTACTCTAAGCTACATCAAGGATTAGCTTAAACTCATACATTTCGCCTTAATTATGAATGCACCAACAAAACACATAGATGCGGTTCCATAGTTTATGCTTTTTACTAGTGATACTGTTTTGACTGATGAGATATGGACTGAATTAGAGGTTTGGCTTCTCTCCAGGCTCGAGAAGATTTAATACAAGTAGGAGTCAAGCTAAATAATGTAAATGAAACTCTAGCAAAATTAGAAAATACAAGTGAGGATGTAGTAAAGATCAGTGATCAAGAGATACTAAAAAACAAACCTATAGTTACCTAGACTCAATTATTCATAAAGAGGAAAAAATTATAGATGTTGTTAATCATAGAATTAAAGCATGATTGGTTAACTAGAGAAGGTGCTTCTTGCATACTGTGTAATCAGTATCTATCTCTAAAATTGAAAGGTGGACTCTATACAACAACCATTACACAAGCCATACTTTATGGGATACAATGTTGGGCCGCTAAGAAACAACACATTCATAAAATAAAAAATGTCGAGATGTGAATATGGAAATAGATACGTGGCACGATAAGATAAAACTAACACTTGGTGAAATGATTGAAGTAGGCATCCACTGAAGATAAAATGAGAAAAATAGGTTAGAATGGTTCTGTCATGTGCTGCAAAGACCATATATAATGATTGCACTACTAAGGAAGAATGATATAATCAACATTAATGGTAATGATAGAAGAAGGGGAAAATCAAAACTAACATAGATTGAAATATTAAGAAAAATATATGATAGTGTGTTGTTGGCTGGGTTTATGGACTTAAAATGAAGTGGAGATGAAACACGATTCATATAACCTACCTGAAATAGTTCGAAAGGGCTTTTTTGAAATGAGAGTTTGAGCGTATAAATCACTTTTAAGGAAAAAAAAATGCAGAACTAGACACCTACCGGCTCCTCATATTCTTGATCCATAAACTTGGCCTAGAGAACTCATTACCTTATAATCCATCACACTCACCCTAGCAAAATCTCAAAAATGATTAGAAATCTTAATTGAGACAAAGCACAACCACCTTTTCTTTGTAGTACCTATATAAAAGAGAACCATGAGAAAATGTCTATATAGCTTAATTAATCACAAATATATGAATTCTAGGATCACCATTGGGGCATGAAGAGGATAAATCAACTAGATCTAATAATCACAACATTTAAGAGACCAAAACATACTTTTTGGACACATTTAACTCAAAAATTGAGCTAAGAGACAAATATTGATGAAACGCATGATGAAGAAAACAAGTATCACAGAATGGTAATTTTTGACTTGTTTGAATCAATTATTACATAGGGCTACCACAAGGCATAACTTACACCAAAAGGGATGGGGTGCTTTAAAGAGCTACGAATCAGAAAGAATCCAGTTTTCCAAATGTGAGAATAAACATATACACAATATAGTGAGACTGAAAAAAAGAGTGAACATAAACATATGGTGCAAGTAAGATTTTTCAACTGAACCAGGTAAGCGAAATCAAAAAACATAACCTATGAATTAAGTTGATGAGATACCCGGCTTAAGAAGTACTCTGCAACATCCGGAAGGAAGTGAAGCTCATCTTTTCTCCTATATGTTTCCTGTATAGCGGGATCCTTCCACACCTCTTCGACTAGAGGAGCATACTCACGCGTCGCTGCAGGGAAAAATGCATCCAGATCTCCAGTGGCTATAATGTCTAGCAGCCAGTCAGAAAAATGCTTCAACCTTGGGTTGATGGAATAGATACATTGAGGAGACTCATCGGGATCAACCTCTCCACCTGCAACAAAATTTAGCTCAATTATTGGAACCTTGGCAGTGCACGGACACGTGCAGCATACTGTTTCTAATATACTTCACTTATAAAAATAAAATTAAAAAATTTCAAGATTACATATCAAAATCTTTTTTTGCTGCGCATTAATAGAGGTTACATTATGATTAGCTCTGGAAGAATTAAGAACTACTGAAGCCTAAATGAAATATGCTTCCCAAAGTGATTTATAGTAGCATCTACTTCATTGAAGGACCATAACATTATATAGAATGCAGGAAAGACACCTGAAACATGCCAATTCCACTCTTACCGAACAAAAAGGTTCTCTAAGACTGACTTTCTGTTAGATTGACAACTATTATTGGACAATGCACCACAAAGAGACTCAGAACTAACTAATAACCTTTATATATCTTCAACTTCCGAGAAGATCTTCATGAGGAATGAGAAAGAGCAGTGCAGACAAGGCATCTGCCTTACTATGACATCAAGAGAGTGAAGAAGAAAAAAAAAGGAACAGTATGCTTAGTGCAACTTCATCAATGTACCTGCTTCAGTAATCTGGTCAATGGTACCTAGCGCTTTCATTCTTGACATGGCCTCTTCCTCAAAGCGCTCCCGTCCATCAAGCAAAATGCTCAAATATTTGTACATGTTACTTTGGATCATAAGTTTAATGTCCTGCAATTCTTCTATAGTAAACTTGTTCCCATACAGAAATTTGGCCTGTTTGGTGACACATAAAAAGAAAAAGAAATGAGAAAAATATATATTTAACATAATAAATCAGATATCACTTAAAAAAAAATTTAGCCCATTCCGACAAAAAACATCAGCCAACTTAAACATATCACACTCATTCAGATACTCCACAAACAACAAAGTTAAAGAAATTTGTCAAATTAAAATACCTCAACAGCGCATTAGAGGTAGTGTTTTTGCAGAGATATGAAACGGAGTTATTCCATAGTTTGTGTGATATCATGGCATGAATTTTGTTTTGGCCCGGGTCGCGTTTCGGCCAGGTTTCAAACGGAAAAAGGGCTTTGCAGAGATATAAAATCTGAGTTCTTTGTGTGTTGCATGTTTACTTTTCTGTCTTGATTCTTGATTTGTTCTTGGTTCGCAGCATTCGTAGTAAAAGTTTACATCTACCTTATGTATAACAACATAAACTTGAAACTGGAAAGGCCAAGTATTCTCCTTGTGATAATATCACTTTGCACAAAAAAATATCTTACTCAGTTACCAAATGGAACCATTGCAAATTTCCCAGTGTCCTAATTATTATCAATGGATTTGCGCAGCTTACTAGCTTGTCATTGGATGAAGAACCATACAATGATCTCCCTGTTCATACGCATCTCCACTTTCCAGGATAAAGAGTTTTTCAAGCACAGATTTTAACTCCAATAATTTTACTCATTATCGCAAGAGAAGCAAATATTAAAATTTTATTGCCAATCAAGTTGATATCAATTATCAATCATATTTTACTAGGGGTTGCCATACTTGGCATGACACTCTAACACAACAAGTGATAACTGAGTTTGGGATTGGCTTAATCATTTTTGGGTCGTCATCGTGTCAGCCCGAATTGAAATGCTAATTAAATGTGTCTTGTTCTTATTTGACCCGCCAGTCTGTTTATAACATGCTTAGACCTGTTTAACTAAACATGTCGGATAAATGTGTTGTGCTTTTGTTAAAAATGACCCATTTAACAAAACGTTGTCATGTTACCTGTTTAATAATCTCGTCATGTTTACGTCAAGATTCCTTGATACGAATAATAATCATATCATGTTCGTGTTGAGTCATATAACAGGATGTCCATGTCATAACACGACACGAATGAGGCACGGAAACAAGAATTACCACCCTTATATCTCACCCCAAAAGGCTGTTTTATGATTTCTCTTCTTTATTTTCAGAATACTAAACATGATGAATTGTGGACATTATACCCACCAGCAAGCCATACCAGCATATTTCAGCACTCTCAGACGTGCTCCCGCAACAAGGATTCCGACATTCCCTGTGGGTCGCTCTATACTTTTTCAACCCATCACATTACTGGTTGCAAGTATACTACAGGTCTTGTGGTCAAGGGGAGAGGGCTAGCAAGCTTAGGGGACACATTGTCTTGAAAGAAAACCACACCATAATCTATGTTTGAAGCATCTGCTGACTTGCCAGTAGAACCTTATGTAGAAGGGCACATTCTCCTTTCCAACATTAACTAGTGGATGATTAGCATGTGACCAAATAGTTCACGAATACAAAAAATTTAAGAGCAGCAGGAGAACATTACAGCAAGAAAAACAAACAAAGAAGTTCTACAAAGGCTGAAGAAGGCCTAGCTTAGGCCATTATGTTGTTATTTCCATCTCATATGCAATTTCTGTGTTATATTGCTTTTTCTTACTATGATAATCCTTCGGTTTTGATTTTATTAATTTCTATAACCTAAAAAATAAATTACAATTGTTGTTTTTTACAAGTCATTCATCGGCAATCAGGTTTCACAATGTGGCAGGAATTGACATACTAAAATCTTGAAAGATTAGCAACCTGATTAAACAATAATACTGAAATTTTGGGTATGTGCTGTTGAGCATGGTTTAGTGAACCTTTTTTGAATATTATTATTAAAGCTAATGATTATATTGTGCACAAATTTTAGAAATATTATGTGTTGTGTTTCTACATATGGATAGAATTTTCAAATTTTCCATACTTTAAAAATTACACACTTGTTGGAGAGGGGAAGAGTCTACGATAAGAAATGAATGAAAATTCCTTCAATTGTGGAAATTGAACAACAAACTAAAGCTAAACAGTTAAATAGTATTGCAGGCCTAGCATCCAAGAGAACCCTAACAACCTTGAGCATCATTCCATTATTTGTTGGGTGTAGACGAAAGATAAGAATTCTCAATTCAATTTATGGATGACATTATTCAGTAATGAGAATTTAGTCTTATTGTAACTTTCAAGCAAATTGAAGAACTTTCGGACCTTAATGTGAATATGAGTAGAAGTGGCATTGCTTAAAGTAATATGCTACAGCATAAGATGCAAATACAAATAAGATGTTCCAAGCTTGAAGATTGTACAGAGCCTTGAGCCCAAAAGCTTTTGTCCTCTGTAGGAGTGACAGAATAGTGGATCAAGCTATGTTTAACATTACTCAGTTTTGCTACTCTCTGGGGAACTTCTCCTATGCTAGGCTAGCATTTCTTGTATGCTGTTACAGATATTTCTTCTTAGTTGACACCATTGCAAAAGAGGTAAGGCTCATGGTGTGCCCTTCACACCACGATGGGGTGACTTGGTTGGAAAGGGGTGCTAATTAATAATTAATCATTATGACTATAGAGGTAATATTTTGTACATGGAGCGGGGTAATATAATGATTGAAGGGAAGTTAGCCACCATTATAGCATGGGTCATAATCATTTGGGCTTTGGATATATAATCAATACTTTTTAGATCTCTCTCTCTCTCCCTCTCTCTCTCTCTCTCTCTCTCTCTCTTTTGTGCGTGAGGACTGTGGACCATAGTAAATTAGTAGATCAATTTGTGAACAAGAATGTGTTTCGCAACAAGGGGAGCATCAACACTCCAAGAAGTTTTAGGGACATTTCTACTCACTCTTGAGGAGAATGGAGTCCTTGTCTCTTGGTTTCTATTTGTATTCTGACTGAAGGACATTATATACTTCGATAGGAGGACCTTCCATGCTTCCTTTGTCAAGGAATTCTTCACCTTAGAACTTCCGATTTCATATTGCATCACTATTCTTAATAACCGAACGCAAATGCAAAGGCATACCACCGATGCTGAGTGATAACAACACTAGCCAATGCCATGACAAACTGACACTTAAAAATCACCCTTCCCTTAATTGATTCTCACATTTATGATTACAGAACATGGATAGAAACTTCATTGTGATAACCAGTAATGGTACTCTAAAGACTTTAGGGAAATACATAAATTCAAAATTTGTTCTAAATTACCAATTTAATTCAAAATTTATCTATGTTGATGGCAATAATAATTGAATGTTATCTTTTGGAAAGCCATAAACACATTTGAAATATACATAAAATGGTGGTACCTGCTTGAAAATAGTGCTGGTTCCAGAGCCTTGAAGTCCCAGTAGAAGAAGTTTCTGGACTTTTTTCTGCTCTAGATAATTTGGAACGGTAGTATAATTGCTAGCCTCATCCCTTTGTCCATGAGATTGACTGTGAGGCACAGGCAAAGAGAACAAGGTGCAGACGAACCGTGTTGATGCCTGTCTAACAAAGATAAAATCCTAAATGTTAGATAAATGATTCCCAGATTCACATATAGTCTCTGAAACAAATTCATCCAGAAATTGTCCATTACATACCTTATCCCAAATCTTTCCCCTGATATTATTCTGACCTTCCTCCTCATAACGACCATCATCGTATACCCAAAAATGAGTGTCACGAGGACACTGCACCTTTGCCAGCTGAAACATGATGAACCTAGGTTACAATTGATTCCCACGTGGAGTACACATCTAAAGCAGGAAATACAGATGGAAATATCAAAGGAAATATAAGCTTCTATAATGTGAAACTTTTGATGTGTTCATTCTAAGGAGAACCAATTATGGGAATATAAACCAACTGCAAGAAACAGTCATTCTATGTAACAAGGAATCCTAACAATGAGGCAAGCACCCAACATAGACACAAGGTGCATGACATGGTTCAATTGTTTATTTTTCTTTTCCAATTAATCATTGTTTACTGACTACCCTACTAGTACTAGCTATATGAACAAGCGATGGCATCTTGAGAGAGAGAGAGAGAGAGAGACTAGAAATTTTAAAGGAAGCGTTCGATTGCCTGGTGGCATTATATATATATATATATATATATATATATATATATATATATGTTTAACAAATCTACAAACGACAATAAGTAGGAAGTAGAAACAGCAACATGCACTCCAATTTTGAAAAAGTTTAAAAGGCTGACCTTTAGCACTCTCAGTTCAAGTTTTGTAATTTCCCGTCCATTGATATAAACTTCAGTATTCCCATTGCTTGCATGAGGACTAAGCTTCCCAGTAAAATTGAGGTTCGAACTTATGATTCTATCTGGTTTTTCTCCCTCCTGCCAGGTCAACAAATTGAAATCATAACATCATTATAGGCTATTCAGGAAAACAAATTGAACAATTAAAAAAAGAAGAAGAAAACAGCATGTAACAAAGCAGAGTTGAAATAAAGCCCATGTATATAATACTACCTTTCCCCAAAAACCAGATTCCTTGTCATACCAGTAACTACCAGGCTTCAGCTTCCGGGGGGGTAAAGGGCACCCAAGTAATTCAGCCATCTCTTCTGGCTTCAAAGGAAATCCGTTCACAATCAACTGCTCAGGGCGAAGCTGATTAGCAGAGCATTCTTTCTCTGCTTTCATTATCTGCTTGACTTCCAAAGGACTGAGCAATCGGGATAATACCCTTGAATTTTTACCCAGTTTGAGCCGTTTTGATTCATCAATCGGCTCACCAATGCAAGTAACACATTTACGCCCTTCTGGCATGGATCCCATTGCCCTAAGCACACAATTGCTGCAGTACTTTGCATCACAAACTAGGCATGACTCCTTAGTTTCCCACTTCCCCTTTCCACATCTATAACAGACTCTTCTTTTCTTCCTCTTCTTCTTTTCCTTTGAAACCCCCACATATTCAGGAAAAACTGATCTCTCCACATCAACCTCTTTCCTTTCAGATCTATCAACAGTATTGAAGGTCACAACTGGGGCTCTCTTCACTTCATTACCCAATTGTCCAGGAGCATTATTTGGACGATTATGGACGGAACCGGGTGATGCCGAAGGGGAAGCAGAAGAAAATTCAGGGTTCTGCAATACAGACACAACAGACTCCGAACTCCCCGATATCCTCGGACTTTGAGTGGGACTGGTGACACCAGCCATACAAGACACCGGCAAACGGATTGGTTCAATTACAGGGGGAACATCTCTAGTGACCGATCTTCGTGGTTCCGAAACTGATTCTGCTCTAGATGCAGTAGGAATTACAACTGCATTTACAGCAAGGGGTTCAACTCTAGGTACCTCATAAGAGACGGGTGGACCCTCATACTCTAATGCTATTGAGTAATCAAGGTTAGCACCATCTTCCGGGAGCGGAGCTCCCGGAGGGAGCATCTTTCTCACCACCTCCTTCCAGTCCTGTCCCTTTTTCTGCATCTCCCCCATAGAAGTATCAAATTTGTACTGCACAATCTTTAATTACTACAATCTCAACAGACTACTCCTAAATACCCCTTTCTTTCAAGACACTCTGTTCTTAACATCACATTGACAGAATAGATTGGTTGTAAAACACCCTTGAGACTAACCACCACACACAGTCAAAAGATAAAGTGAAACAGTTTCAACCAAAACCACAAGACCCACATCAAATAATCAAAACATAAAAGAAGTTGAGTTCACAACTTCTAGGGCATTCAAACTATGCCATATCACATGCAGAACCAGAGAAAAGTCGCCGCTAACAAAGTCGCAATTCAATGGTCGCCCTTCAAAAACCTTCAAATCTGAAACAGTTGAGAACAACACTAATCAAACATCAAAAGCCCCGAAATTCAACAGTCCAACCATGTGGTTACAGAAGACACAGCGAAAAACACATATATTCACAAAGCTGTTAACTTCAGAAATCACAGTTCAAATGTTTCTGTAGAAATCGCCAATTTTGAAAGTAGGAGAGTGTTGAAAATTTCAGAGTCAAACAAAATTAAACAAATAAACAAAAACCCTAGAACGGAAGACAATTTCAACACCTGACAATACACAAATATATATATATATATATATATAAACATATACATATAAGAAAAAAGATAAGGTATATATATAAAGAATCTGAAAATTTTACTTTGGAGTAAAATTTGAGACTTTTGATAAAGAAGAGAGAGAAAGTTAGAGAGAGGAAGGGTAGTACCTGGGAAAGGGACAAGCTGAGAGATTGAATCTGAGGAGGGGTCTTGCTTTTAACCTTTGGAAGTTCTGAAAAGATGAATAGGTAAAGCTTTCTAGGAATCTATACCATTGAAGAAGATAAAAGGAGCAGAGCTATACATCTACGTATAGATATAGAGAGAGAAAGTTATAGAGAGAGAATAGAGACAGATGATTCGCTGAAAACAACGCGGGGAGGAGAGGGGAGTCACTCACTCGGACAGCCATTTTAGAGAGCGCCATCCGATGAGAAGAGAAGAGAGGGGGGAAGTGGGGTCCACGTGTGTGCACGGTTAGTACTGTAATTTGTAGGTGCTTTATGATGAAGATTGAAGACAGATAAGTCTGGTGGGACCCATTATGAGTGGAGTCGCCACGCGCCTCACGTCAGCTATAGCATGACCAGTACACGCGCCAAGATTTTTCTGATTGATGGACCGTTGGTGCCAACGCGCTCTGGTGTGCGCGGAAAAAAACACACCAATTACTAGCGTGTAAAAATAAAAATAAAATAAAATAATTATTAGTATAAAAATTGTTAGAATACCTTTCAAGAAAAAATAAAATGAAAATTGTTAGAATACCTTTCTTATACAATTTGGTTCCTATTAATAATAAAACAGTTAGTTCCAATTTAGCATGTATGTATATATATATAAAATAAAGTACTCAATTCTAGTACCAATAAAACCAAACTGATCACTTCCATTAGGTTAAGTTCTCGATTTGATTCCATTTCATTTTAATTCATTCCGAAGCTAAATTAAACCCATTCACTTGCACTCTTACATCAAAATTATTTATGATGGGGAGTGTAGAGCATGATAAATATTGTACATCAAATTCCAATTTTGTGAGTTTCAATTTAGTATGTGTGTGTATATATATATATAATTAAAGTACATGATTCTAGAACCCAACAGAGACAATGGCGGATCCAGAATTTCTAGGTGGGGTGGGCTAACATTAATCATGAATACTAAGGAATTGGTTCGGGCCTTTATTTTAGTATAATGGTTGAGTTTACTTGGACTTCATTGGATTTTTTGAGTGGGCTAATGCTATTAATTTTTTTATTTTTTGGGTTGGGAAAATATATTAGTATAGTCAAAAAAAAAAAAAAAAAAAAAATTTGGGTGGACTACAATCCACCTTTGCCTACCCCTGTGTCTGCCGCTACAAACAAACATTCCGAAAAAAAATATATATATATATATCCCTTCCCGAATCCAACTTCGTGATATATCGACGGAGGGTAGTAGGGGCAAAGCCAAACATGAGTATACTTGTTTATAGAGCTGGACACTCTATCAACTAGACCACTCAATGATACTCATTTACATAAATATATTAATTGAACTATATTCTATTTACTAGTATTACATACTATACTATTGCTACGTTCTTAAATGATTTTTAAAAGGGAAAATTACATATAAATGGAGTCAAAGTTCCATATTTACTTAGAGGCTGAGTCAAAGTTCCATATTTCTCTAAAATGGATTGCTGAGGTGGCACATGATTTTTTACTGTTTAGAAATTGTGATGCTTAAAATACCCTTCCGCGAAGGTACTACTTTTTCTTCGAAAGTACTACTTTTTTGAACTGAAGGTACTACTTTTTGGCGTCCAGGTACCATGTTTTTTAAACACCCGCGAAGGTACTACTTTTTCTCCAAAGGTACTACTTTTTTGAACTGAAGGTATTACTTTTTTGTACTGAAGGTACTACTTTTTTGTTAGGGAAGGGTATTTTAGGCATCACAATTTTCTAAACAGTAAAAAACCATGTGCCACCTCAGCAATCCATTTTAAAGAAATATGGAACTTTGACTTAGTCTCTAAGTAAATATGGAACTTTGACTCCATTTATATGTAATTTTCCCTTTTTAAAACTATAAATGCACTCTTAAATAGAGTAGGTAGAGTAGGTAATGGAGAAAAAGTTTTAAGTCACAATAATTTGGTTAAATAAGATTTGTTTGAGGCTTATGTTATGTAACCTATGTTTGGCAGTATCAAATTCACACTTTGCATTTGAGATTCGAAAAAATTTTATTATAAATTTTGAACAAATTTATAACCTTAATTCGGTTCTCCCAAACATAACACAAATGTAATTAATATTATACTATTTTAAAGTAAGCTCAATCTTCAAAATGAGCCGATATCCAATATGTGTGTAAAATGTTAACATTCAAAACATTTTTATATTAAGAAAAAAATAATAATAACAATCAGGTGTGTAAATAATATTCGTGACAGTCCCATGTTGTTTGAAAGAAGAAATTGCTGACACTTATATGAGAATATGTCCCCTCCCTGAATTTCTTAAAATATGAGAGGGGCGTTCATTGCTAATGCTCAATAATAACTCTTAATTATTTTTATTCACATTATATTTTGTATTTCTAAAAATAAAAAGTAAAAAATTGAATATAGGACTATTATTATTTTTGTCACCAAATTAATTAGCATCTTATCTCCGAACATCTAATAAATTGACCTCTCCTCTCCCTTTCATCTGAATATACAAAGATGTTGTCCAATATTTTTTAATATTTACTAGTCAATAATTGCAACTTATATTATGAATATTTTATCTAAATTAAGTGGTATATCCCTCACTTCCAAAAGTATATACCAAGATGTTTAATATTTTCTATTAATTACCAAGTTAATAATTATTGCAACAAATTTATGAGTCTTTATTGCACTATAATAATTGGTCTAAATTACTAATATATAGAAATATAGTCATGTTGTTAATTTATTGATTGATGTAGCAGTATTTTGAGACACAGAGACAAGAATGTGTTCTTTATGTCAAGAAATGTATATTAAATATACAAAGTTAAACGAATCACGTCGTTGAAAATTTAAAATAAGAGTTTGCTTATAAATAACACAAAATATTATGATTTGGATACTGCATAAGTCAGTGCTTAACAGTTGGATTGAGATCATGATTTGAATGCCTCACAAGATACGTTATTGCCAAAAATATTGCTCCATTATTAAACAACCTACTTAATAAATTTGTCAAGATTGAGGTCCATGTTTGGAACAACCCTAATTGCTCCCAACAATATAATAATATAAATACGACTTCATTTAATGAATGAGATTAAATTGGACATAATCTATGATAAAAACTCTAACTTTATATCCTAGAGGTTCAAGTTTGATTAGATTAATTATGAAGCGTTTTAAGAGACCTGACATCATTATTCATGTGAGGGACCTGAACCTAACCTTCTTCCAGAGAGAGAAGAAAATACCACTGGGTTATATGTCGCAATCCACATGCTTGAAGCTCTTCGACATTGTAATCCAAACACGATAAAAAATGGCTTTTGAATTCTAGAAGCAGAAAACGGCTTTCAAAAAGCCAATCCGAACGGGCTTATAGTTCATTTGAAAGCATTATTGTCTAATATGTAACATTTAAAATTGAAGTTATGATTGATACGTTAGAGAATGCAATGATGGCAGCTATCAGGGGCGGAGCCAATTAAGGCTTAGAGGGGGCACGTGCCTTGCCCTTACTCCAATCTACTATACATAAGTATATATTTTTGCTATATACATAAACTTGTATAGTAATTTTAAATAGTATCTCCCTAAAATTTTCAAATTCCTCTAATTTCTTTTTGAAAAAAAAAAAACATTTCTCTTGGAATAAATAAATGCTCAATCTCAAAATTTATTTTTATTTATGTTGAAGCCCAAACCAGTATTGTTGTTATCACGCGCTCTGGATGTGCGAGTAGGATTACAATCTCTTTGAGAGAAGACTTTTTGAAAGCTCATAGTTGACAAATGAAATTAGATTGCTAGTGGCGCGGTAATTTAAACTGAAAAATAGTAACTGTTCTTCAGGAGCAATTATCCCATGCGCAACAGTCCAACGTAAAACTGAGCAGGTGAGCCGAGAACAGGTGCAGCGTGGCACGATTCTATTGGTGTTTTGAGGACAGAACCTGTCCGGAAGCAGCTTTATTAGCTGCACTGACACTACATTATCTCTTCTCCTGTCCTTTCAGTGTTTCCTCTCTTCCAAGGTCAATAAATGGAGTTGTGGAGGGCCATATGATTAGGGCCAACAAGGGCACACAGTGATTGCGGAACAAGACAAGCAATAAACACAGTTGAGTGTGTGAGGTAGGGATCTGATGCTTATTGATTGGTGTTATTTGGTCAAAATAAATTAGATGTGTGAGACGCTGTGTAATTGTGCAGTGTCAAATCAGTGTTGGTTTTGGTAGCCAACTTCACTGCTTCAAGAGTAGGACCTTTAACCTTTGTTCAAAAAAACACTTTAGTGCATAAAACCTGTACTCTATAGGTTGTGTACAATGCATTCCTCGTTTTTAAATTTAAGTATATCAGTCATTTTTTGTTTTGTTTTTTTTTTAAATGTGCAAATAATTTCTTTTACCAATTTTTGACAAAAAAAATAAATATGAAAATCCGATATTAATTTTTTTCTTCCCATTTTGCCCCACTTTGCAATTTCTCTCTTCCTCTCTCATGTCTTATTTCTCTCTATTATACACACATTGCAATTCATCCCCGTCACGGATGAAGGCCTGTGGGGGACATGTGCCCCTCTTGAGTTGACCCGAAGATTATAATATATGTGATAATTTTTTTTATTTTTTTTTCATATATATAAAAAAAATTATACAATGTCCCTCTAAATTTTATTAATAACAAAAGTCAAAATTTTCTTTCTCAATTAAAACTTTTTTCTTTTAAAGTTCTCTAATTTTTTTTTCCTTTTTTTTTTTTTCTACTTCTAATCTTAAAATTATTTTTTTTAACTTACATATTTGAATAATTTTTTTCTCTTTATCTTTTGAATTTTATTATTATTATATATATTTACTTCGTATTATTTTTTAATTTTGGCAGCGCCCCTCACTTGAAATCTTGGTTCCATCGCTGATTCACCCACCCATGCCGTCCATTCACTGTGTCTCTCTACCCGCCGCTGCTGCCACCACCACCATCATCACCATCACCATCTGCAAATCCCGTTCAATAGATACATATACACACTAGAAATTCCATTCAAAACTGTGCCCGATTTGTGGAATCAATAGCATCCGAATCGGCGTGCTCGACTTGTGAGCACTGCCTTGTCTTCAGCTACCAAAAAAGGCCTTTGGTAGAGGGGTTTGATTTGAGGGTTAGTGGAGGGAGAAATTAAACAATAAAAAATAAGAAATTTGCTGGTTCATCTCCATGGATTCTCTGCTTCCCTAACCACTTTTCAAGCCGCTTCGGTTCTTGAACACCGTTCAGTTCTCGGCTCCTTTGAGGACCGCCGGAGACACCTCCACACCACACGCTCACTGCAATTTCTCGGCCTGCCCGGATCGTCTCGTTGGAAAAGATGAGGTTGCCGGAGGTCGCCATATTTGTAATAGCGATACGATTCAACTGGTGATTTCAACGCACTTGGGAAAATAGAAACAACAATTTGGAATTTGAGGACGCACCAAACAACTTAAATGCAGTTCGCCGGACGTGGGTCTCTGTAGCTCGGTGCTTCGGTTTGATCGTCGCGGTTGGTCGGAGCTGATCACTGGAACTAGAACCAAGGGTGGAGCTGGAGGGGCAGCAGGGGCCATGGCCCCAAACTTTTTTGAAATTTTTTTTACTACCCCTACATATTAATTAAATTGTAAATTTTGTCCCTAAATTTATTAAAAAATTTAATTTCCCCTCTCCCCACAATATCTATAATATTAATTCAAGAAAAAAAAAAAAAAAAAACAACAAAAACAAAAACATGCTAATACCATTTTTTAAAAAGGAATACCATTTTTTGTCAAACATTTTTGTAAAATTATATTTATAAGAATAAAATTATATAACAATCTTTATTGACAAGTCCTAGGAATATTTGGAAAGAAAATAAACTAAAATATTGTGATACTCTCAAGAACAATAATAATATCACTTATGCTAATACTTTTAGTTATAACTTTTTAAATAACAAATTTATAATTATTTATATCTTGTTTAATAATTTAAGAATATTCTTGTTAAATTTAAAATAATTTTTTGAGCTAAAATTCGTTATGTTTTTCTAATCTTTCATCCAAGACTCCAAGTATACTCAAGTGGAATCAAAGTACTTAATTTTGTTCTTCCAAAAATTAGATTTTTGAAAAACTGAAACAATTGATAAAGGAAAATTGATTTTCTAACAATACTTATTTCTTTAAGTTTCTTCTCCATAATTTTCTTTCTAACATCAATTTTTTTTTCTAAGTTGCATTTTTCTCATTTTTGAATTTTCTCAAGATATATATCTATTATGACTAGTATTTTAAAAAATATATATTACAATTGATTTTTAATTTTGTTTTTAATTTTTATTACATAGTTCAAATCTGGTCTCCCAACCTTAAATTTTTCGCTCCGCCCCTGAAGTTTGCCGTTGAATCATTGTATCCATGTGTTATCTCCGGATAAAGCATGCAGGGCATAGTACTGCTTGGATGTGGTTAGCCAATACCTCAACTTCTATTTTTTTTTTTGAATCTCAGAACTCATATTTGGGTGCCAAAGGGCTGGCCTTATATGTGTACCCATCATCCCACTTGATCCTTATTTTGCCCAAAACAACCATCACCACCTTGTTAGAGTTCTCTCACAGACAAAGCTCAAAGCTGCCATAGCATACAGTCATTCTAGAGAGAGAAATCGGGAGGGAGAGAGCATGGGACAAAATGGTCATTTTACATGGCCTACATTTTATATATTAATTTATTCTACTGATATGAGGGCATTATAGTCATTTTAAGTCTCAAGTGAGGATATTTGCAATTTAGTTACACCAACACAAGGACTTATTTATACCATACCGATAGTAGAAGGTGGGGGTTCTCACACTTGATCCTTTAAAAAAACACAATAATTAAAAAAGAGAGTGAGGAGTTAAAAAAGCACAATAATAAAAAGAGAGAGAGTGAGGAGTTGGACCCCTAGATTTTAGGATTGTCCTATAATTTGAAGGCAATAATAACCCGATATAGGTAATATTGTCGATCACAACTTGACACACAAATAAATGTGTCAACATCAACAGCTCAAACTACCTGGTGAGCTTACCACTGCAAACTGGCACTTCTCGCCAGTTGCAGACCATACAATAATTTTCGTGATGCTGGGGCTAAAAAAAATAGTATCTGCCACTTTTTTTTTTACTGCTGATACAATCAAGATAATACATATAAATTTTAAAATAAGAGAAGCCTAACAAAGTACTAAATTCTCTCCACTCCATATCATATGGGCATCTATTTTGGTAAATTACTGCACCTCTCTTGATAATATAAGCATATTATATCCATTGACTTTGTTGGTTACCTAACATATGGATAATCCAAGGAAATGTAAAAACTCAAGCTTAATCAACAAACCAACTCATTGGGTTAACTATTTGATATTAAAATCACGAATCCTTTCTCATCTATCAAGTTCCAAGGAACACATTATTGGAGTTTTGGGACTGAATTAAAAAAAAAAAAAAAAAGGATTATCAACTATGCATTTTACAATGTTCAAGGAAATTACAACAGGTATTAACTTAGACCTTTATTGTCTAGCAAAGATTTTTTTTACCTTCACCAATGAAACAGGTCCTCTTAACTACTCAGCGAAACAAGAAGAAAGAAAAAAGGTTGTAAATCTTGCTCGGAACATTGACTTACTCAACTTACGAAATCCCCCGTCTGTAACGAACCAGGTGCACCTATAAAGAATCGGTCCACAAAGAAATTTCAATGTTTTTAACTCAAAACAGAAAACATTTTCTACCTGATCTTAATCGTTTATCAAATATTACCGGAATATCTGGCTTATTTGATCTGAACTGAAGCAACGGCTGATGTAATTTCTTTGGCTCGTGGATCGCCATTCTCTAAAGAAACACCACGAGGATCTTCTCTCACAAGCAAGGCCAGAACATTTTGTGAACTCCATGCTTTGGTCACATTGCTACTTGAATCCCCCAAGGTGATGGCAAAAACTGCATCGAACCCACCTGCACCGGGAACTCCAGCCAACAAAACTCCTTCCATATTCACAGTAGCATCCAAGAGCCGAGTTTGTGATTCAGGTTCAATCTGCAAATGTGTACAGAGATGGTCAAACAAAAAGAATTTGAAAAGGGTGCACAGGACTCCCATCATATTGGAATCCGAAGTCAATCATCAGGGAGTGAGCATCATATAACTAACTCCATATGTTCCCTTCCAGCACAGATTTTTGTCATTTGAACATTCACAAGACATTTACCGGAGGAACCTTACAAGTATGCTCAAATCGGCAACAAACATAATGACAAAAAAGGACATTTAGTTACTGGTAGAAAGTTCAACAAGATCTAATTTATTCTATCATACTGCATAAGAAAAATAATTAAATTGCCATATAAGGGTCTTTGTAGCTTTTCCTATAAATAATAAAATCTAATTCACAAAAGTTCTGGCCTAGAGTTTATAAAGCAATAAAGACATCCACAGCCATTCCATAAATTTTTTTTTATGCCAATTTCCGTGAAAGGACACTCTTTAGCTTGCTCATCGTATGCCCATGCTTTAACTAGTTCTTTGTAAACTTTGGGGGAAAAAACCATGATAATAATTTTCCTGTAAAATGAGTTTAGCTTCAAAATTTTGCCAGCACTGTTTGAGCATGGTAGAAATATTTTAGCAAGACATCTACAAGAATAGATTGATTTATGGTTTAATTGTTATCGCTAACAACAAAAAAATTTGTTCCCCTCAAAATTTACACCCCCCAACACTAAAATAAATAAATGAAGGAATTTTTTTTTAACAGTCTTCACATAGCAAATTAACAGTATCATTCCCATCCTGCCAACTGGTATGGCAGGTGGGTGGCACTAGATAAGGAAAATACATGCAGAGCTAGACAAAAACTCTGGAAAAGAGTTTGTACTCCATAAAGATTGAATTACCAATACTTGCCTAAGGGAAGCAAAAGAAACAAAGTATCTTCAGGGACACAATGTTGAAAGCAGGACACTCAACAAGTCAGATCAATTTGGTGTGGGTCTCGCAAGATCTGAATTCGAATTGAAGTATTAAATAACGGGACCGTGAACCCATATTTGACAGATCATACATAATATTAACCGAGTATTAATTCAATAAAATATCCAAAGATCCGAATTCAGTTCATGTTGGGACAAATACTTTAGGGTTAAACATATAAATTAATATAATATTATAATATCTAAGGAAATCATTAAAATATCCCCTATTATAATATCTAAGGAAATCATTATCCTATCCCCTAAATATATATAGTAGTACAGTGTCCAATATGACTGTTTTAGGATCAAAATCGGATTGAGTATACATATATTCAAGTTCCAACCTGATTATAATGGGATATCCTAAATCAGTTTTGGATTTGGATATCAGGTTGAAATTGGATCTTAATCAAACCAATCAACAACACTAGTTGAAAGTTAATTTTAAACTTCCTTAATGGATGTATTCAACGTAGATCTATGGAGAAGTTATATACGTATCAGATAAAGCATCCACATTATAGACAGTTAACTCAGCAATGGAACCAAAGTTATAAGAGAAGGCAAAGGAATATTGATATCTATACACACAGATATAATGTGTGTGTGTGTGTGCACACGCGTGTATGGATAGAGAAAGAGGAGACAATCATCCAACCAAAGATAAGAGAACCTACTGGGACACCAGCAGCCTCACCCATCCGGCGCATGTGATTCCTGATTCCAAGCATAGCATCTCTTGCTCCTAACAATGCTTTAACAACTTCTGTTTGGCTCTGTTCATTGGCTTGCTCCATCCACTATTCATGGAAACAAGGGGTTACACGATCATCTCAAACATCACAAAGAAAAAGTTACGGCAGGTAGCAAGAAATTTAATGTAAAAAGAAATATACATATTTTTGCAAGCTTGATAGCGAAAGAGTTGAACCAGTTAACAAATTCAACATGTTAAATACTTTCCAGATGCTGTGCCTAGTTAAGTTTAGAATTTGCACCGAAGGTCAAAATACATTTGCAGTAAAACAAAGCCCTTAGTTAAGTTCTTTATCTTCTCCTTTTTCTCTTCCATTATCTTCTTATTTCTGTTCTCTATTTTTTACAATTACTCAGTTTTCTGTCTCGCTAGTCTTAATCAAAATTTGAACCATTATAAACAGCCTTCTAAAATCCTCGTTTCCTTCCCAGAACCTTTTCTACCCAATGCTCAACAATCCCCAATTTAATTCTCAGACCGTAACCATAATTCTTTATGGAAATGCTAAAATTCTGAAACACCCTGCATTAATTTGGTATAAGAATTAAGAGCTTGTAAGAAAGTACTTCCATCAATTGTTGCCCCATCAATTGTTGATATAATTGCTCCTTTCGAGTGGTGACAAAGATTGAGTTGATTTCTACATTGGAATCTTTATCCCAAGATCACAAAGGTACAAAGAATACCTAAGTTCAATCATATGACAAGGTAAGTCCAATAGAGGATGGATTAACGAATCTTGGCCTAAATTGCCTCTCCACAAGACATTATAGCAGGTATGAGTCGTATGACAATTGTTGCCTTAGAAAAAAGCCTAAAGGAATCGTAAAAGAGTGTAGATACTACTAATTATCAACAAACTTTTGAACAACTATTCTATCAGAAATACGAGTCAAACTGAAAGATCCTAGACTGGTTGATGTAGATAGAGCTGCTAAACTTAAATTTAAAGATCTTCATGGATACAAGAATTCGGAAGAATTTATTAATTGGTGAGATGGGCTAAGAAGTTTCTTCAGATGGTATCCTTTTAAAGATGAGAATAAAGGTTTTCTTGACAGAGGCTAAACTGAAATGTACAAGAGTTTAATGGGTAAAACAACAATAAGTAAATTATGCTGCCATTAGATCATGGAACAACACAAGGATTGTCATGAGTCTACTGCTTTCTACTAACTAATTACAACCAACGAGTTCACTTGAAATATATGAAATTTGGTGCAAGGGAGTACGTCTGGGGAAGAAAACATCGGAAATTTCTAAAGCCTGGCTAACAGCTGGGAATATCCATGGAACAACTATGTGATAATTTCTGTGTAGTAAAGGATTGAATTCACAAATCTCTTCTCGTTTAGCTCCTAATGGACATTATGTGGCAAGGCAGTTCAAGTCGACAAATAGATCGAAGAGGGGTTAAAAGAGAAGGATTCTATGATAGCATCAACAAAACATACAACTTGGGGTAAAATTTTTTTTGTAAATATAACTCAGGGTAAGTCGATTGATATTTGTCCTCTTATTGCAACTAGCAAGGAAGTTCTCAAGAAGAATGATGAGCTTTATCGAGGAGGGGGGGGGGGGAATTCAAACAATAGTTGGTAAGGAGATATGGAGAAGAAGTATGCTCATTGGTTATAGACACTGGGAATTGTAGTAATGCATTGTCAGAGAAAGCTGTGAACAATTTAGGATTGAGGATTGAACCACACCGAAATCCAGATTATGTTGCATGAATCACTACCATAGTTGAGGGTAGTGTCCTTGACATTATTTATGATGTTATGCCACTTTATCTTAGTCACGTACTACTGGGTCGAACATGGATTTGCAGCCATGATATGCATCATGATGAACGTGCCAACACTTAATCTTTCATTGATGACCATTAGAAAGATACTTGTGCCATAGGTGCGCAAACATTAAATTTGAAAAATAGTTCATTAAATTATTAATGAACTTCACCTGAGTACTTAGACATGTAGCTAACTGAGAGTTGACTTCTTTTCAGCAAAGGGAAATTGATGTTGTATCTATTTATTGGTTGGATAAATATCAAAGGTCTTGGAAGACCAAAACAAAGGTTGGGGATGCTGCAACAATGAAAAAGACTCTTCAGTCTGACAAAAGTGTGTTTGGTAGTTTTTAATTGATAAATTATTTTAATTATGCATGATATTCATTGGGCTTGATTTGATTATTAAATTTTATATTTAAAAGAAAATTGCTATAACAATACTGCACGTCCTACAACGGGAGGTCAAGATACTATAGTGATTTTTTGGGGATAAGAGAGGGTGTCCCCACCCCCTTCGGAGGTGTGGGATTAGTCCCTTCGGATACCCCGCAACTCGGCTACCCTGTGGGCGTTCGGTAGTAAGTTACTTTTCAAATTATTATTGTAGATTACTGTTCATGCAACTGAAGCTGGAATAAGTTTGCTACTTCAAAATTATAGCCTTCTTTTATTTATATACTAATTAAGAGTTAACATGACCAGGATTTTAAAAGCTATGCTTTAGTTCTTTTTTATTAGATTTTTATAGTATATAAAGGGCTTGTAATTGTATTTTTTGGAGTTAGTGCATACTGAATGAGAACTAAAGCCTCATTTCTTTGTTTAAAAGATTGTAACTGTTTCCTTCTTCCTCTACTCTCTTTCCGTTATTCTAATTACAATAACAGAGATTTTTTCCTCCTTACTAAAACAAGCATTGAACCAAGATATCACATAAAACCTTAGTTTGCTACCTAAAAACACTCTATATCCAATTCTAAGTCGCCCCTTATTTAATTCTCAGTGAACACTAACACACTTCCTCATAAAAGTGCTGGAATTCTAACATGTATGAACCTCTGGGGAAAAAAAAAACTTCCAGCAAATAGAAATGCCTAAATGAATAACTCAATTAAAATTAAGCAAGGATAATAAAAAATAAAAACCCATGACCAAACATCCTAATAACAGAACATCCCAAAATATTTTTATCCTCAAAAGTATAAAACCATATAATTGCTATGAACATTTCCAGTTCTTGTTGCTCCTTCATCAGTGAATTTAGTGATATTTCATTGGTTGAACATCCTTAAGAAACTGGTAACTTAGATTTACTTTACCTTTTATTCTTTGTCCTATTTGTTGAACAAAGGCTTTGCCAATTTGACAAGGACAATTTGCTATTATATAGGTAGCTGAAGAATCAAGGTAGCAGATTCCCATATATTTCCATTAACCTGAGAGTTTTTTCTTCATCACCATGGACATTATAGGTAGCCTTCCACCAAAAAAAGAATGAACCTCCTCATCAAAATATTTGGAATAAATGTCCCCATTATTATTCCCAACTAAAAAAGTGTCATCAGAACTGAAATTTTGGATGTCCTTAAACTTACCTTTTCTGACCTATGCATGCTGCACCTGTTGATGACACATGTATAAGCATCCCAATGTTCTTCTGCCAATTTGGTTAACATATTGAATTGTGCTTCGAGTGCTGAATTTGCATCTGACAATTTTCTCCATGTGTCTAGGGATTGTTGAGGGTCAGATTTTTGCCACTTTTTGACAGAACCTACCATTGACGGTGTTGATGATCCTCCAGTTCCTGGTTCACCTAGTAACTGCAAAATGGATCACAATCACCAAAAACAACCAAAATAAAAAACAATGCTCTGGCCTTTCCGCAAATGGAAAAAGCTCTCACCAATGGTGCACTTTCACGCGCGCACACACACAGATGTTGGGGCTCAAGGATACTGGTTCTCAGACACTGTTTTCTTTTTGTTGGTTGGTTACATTTATTTTACCAGATCCAGCCCCAAGGCAGGCCAAAAAGGCCCTGTGTTAGCACAGTGAACTTGATGTAGATCCAAATAGTAACTGCCCACCCCCAGCAGACCCCAACACCCGTGTCTCAGCCCAAAAGGCCCAAACGGTGACCCAAGAAGGGGTTGTCAAACCTTTGGGTAGCCCAAAAGAGGTCACATGGCAAGTTGACTAACAAAACCAATGAGAAGTACATTAAATGAATAAAAAAGTTTTACTAGGTAGGTAATCATATTTTTGTAACAAATACAATGGACAGGGGAGCAATAATTATCCATCCAAGCAATACAAGGGCCAGTGAAGAAAGCAGCAAAGTGGAGATTATCATTTTCACCTGAATAAACTAAGAATTACAAGATAGAAAAGCGAAGATAGTTGTAACTATATCCACAACACAGAGAAAAAGTCCAATCTAAGGTTAATTTTAACTTCATGTAATATAGAGGTGAGACAAATATTTGCCAGTGGAAGGCAGAAAGGTTAAAGCAAATGACAAAAAGATGCTTCTTTCTGGTTGGTGGAGTTTTATGAAGGTGGCTAAAGTTAACAAACTGGACTCGGGAGGGAAAGTGGCGCGTCATCATTATAGAATTGCCTTTATAATAAATACATATATGAATGCAAGCATGCATTAAAATAAATATAGAAATGTAAATAAAAAGGTAAAGCAGATATCTAAATATACTTACAAGGGTCATCAGTGGAGGCAGGGAAAATTTAGTTCTTTCATGGTCCCAATTGCCTTTTAGGACATCAGCAATGGCTTCTTCTACTGGTGCACCTCTAACTGCACCCTGCAACACAATAATAGTAAATAATCAATTAAACAAATTTTAGCGGAAGTTCACAAAAATTTACTATGATCTTAATGTAATATTCTTTTATGATCAAGGATATTATTCTTCCAATTATAAATGAAGAATTAAATACGTTTCTTCATCTATATTATGTGAAAAAACAACATAAACAGGCATTCTACCAATTCCTTCATCTGAGCTTTGCATGACATCACATTAATCTTATGATGAAGAGCTTGCAACCGTAATTGCTTTAACAACCTAGATAAGTTCGCTAAGATTTTGTTTTATTCAATTATATTGAGTACCTAAGGGGAGGGGATTAGTGAGGCACCATTGCCTCAGGCAATGGAAAAGCTCAGGTTACCAAATGTGTAAATGCATATTCAAGTCTATGATAACCACATCAAGTTAAAATGTTCTGTATGTGCTCAATGTCCCAATACCCTCCTCATCTCCTTTCCCAGTACCTTGGATTTGTTAAACCACCACTGGATAATCGCCTCTACAGAATAGGGGTGGTGAATGATAGAACTCATTTGAAAAATATATATAGAGAACAGCTCCTGTGTCACTTTTGTCAATACCAACTATCTTATTAGTTGTGTGCCAAGGGAAAAAAAAAGGTCAGCAGAATTCACAAATATTTTAAATAAAAAGGAATAACCCTCATCAAAAGGTGTTCTGATGAGGACCACTTGCTAAACCTCAAACTTTAAATAATCTTATAATCTCTATTCCTACACCATCTGGCCCAAGAAAAGCCTGGTCACTCAAAGTCAAAATACTCAATCATAGCTAGTTAGCTTATTCATTCTTCTAATGTTCCATCCAGATTTGGACTATCTAGTGCATCACTATTTAAGGTTGTAAAGATACTTCCCCATTCAGATTCTAGTAACTGTGACTTAAAATTGGAGCATTCACTCTTGTAACACCCTTCTTGATCACCTTGTAAGGCCGAAACCCATAGCAACAAGTGAACTTCCATGAACTAAGACAGTGATTTTTTTAGAAGTTGTTCATGTTTAGAAGGCTTGGAATGTTAGCTTTGGTTTTTCTTTCTGGTGTTTCTAGTCAGGTTTTGATTTTTATTTTTTGTTGTGGATGGACATTTTGTCCAATCCTTGGTTTGTCTTGGAGGTTTGTCCTCCTCTCTGTAATTGTACTATTGTATTTCTATTTATAAAATTCAAAAAATATCCCATTCAGGAAGAAAAAAAAAAATAAGACAGTGATTTTTTACTTTTTTCCTAAGTAAGACAGTTGTCACAGGCTTAGAGTTTCAGCACCACTCTAGCTACTCCCGTGCGGCACCAAGACGTTACTTCTACTCTCGCAAGTGCTTGGTCAGCCTAACTCCCGTGCACACCTTAGCCAACACACTCCCCTCGTGCGCTTACTAGTGTTGTAGTGGCCCTCGCCCTCTCCTCACTTGGCTTGCACACTCACACACACTAAGGCACTTAAGTTGGCAAGGAAAGAACACTTCTATTACTTCAAATAATGCTTTGTACAAGGCTAGCACTCAAGCTCTCTACAAGGCTCTCAAGACTCACTCTAGGACTTGTTGGCTACAAAATGAAGTCCTACTCCTATTTATAGGCATCCCCATCCCTAATGGATGGCTAGGATGCATTCTAACCAACAGTGGAGATTGATTCTCTAGAATCCTCTCCCACCTTCTTCACACTTCCATACTTATCTACTAGTATCTACAACATTCTAGAACTCTCCATACTACTCCACACAATTCTGGAGAACTCTAGAATATACTACACATATCTAGAATCTTCCACACAACTCTAAACAACTTCGAAAGACTCTAGAAACTCCACTCGCCATGCAATTGCCATGCAGCGTCTTCCTCAGCGTCTGCGTGTCGCCTGCATGATTTTTTTAGAAGTTGTTCATGTTTAGAAGGCTTGGAATGTTAGCTTTGGTTTTTCTTTCTGGTGTTTCTAGTCAGGTTTTGATTTTTATTTTTTGTTGTGGATGGACATTTTGTCCAATCCTTGGTTTGTCTTGGAGGTTTGTCCACCTCTATGTAATTGTACTATTGTATTTCTATTTATAAAATTCAAAAAATATCCCATTCAGGAAGGAAAAAAAAATAAGACAGTGATTTTTTTCTTTTTCCCTAAGTAAGACAGTGCTTTTAAGTACTGAACAACAACACCACAAATGCACTAAGAGTATTTCCAACTTCGGATGAGATCTTCAACTCTAGAATGTACATTGATGTCCGGGCCCATCCAAACTGCGACCGGGTCAACAAAGTATCAGAAGTCATAGCACATGTGCAAAGGAAGGAACATGGTGTCTAATGGATACAACAAAACAATTTTCTCCATTGCTGGCTACATCATTAAATAAGGACTGTTGCTTTGTGCTATGGTAAAAGCTCAAACAGACAAGCATGAGTTTGTGGGTTTGAGTATGAGAATAATCATTGTGTGGAAACTAATGCTAAGTTTAGGTTCTTATCCAATCTTTCCATTCCAACAACCTGTCTATAGGGACCAATAGTTGGTAATGGCCTTCGCCATTGGATAATGGGAACCCAACCTTTGCATACAGACCATGTGTTTTTGTCATGAGAACGCATGGAAATGAGAATTAAACTTATACATGGCTTTAAATCTTTGTTCCAGTATCTGAGTGTGTGTGTGTGGAGGGGGGGAAGGGTGGAAGGGAGGGAGGGAGAGAGAGAGAGACCTGAGCAGAAGAAAGCACTTCTGGTGAAAACCGGACATAACGCTGACTGCCATAAACCGCAGAACTGACATCAAACCCACTTCCAACTTTCCCTTGTGCAATACAGTGGCAAGTCTGAGCTATCACATGCACAACATCAAGATCCACATCGTCCTTTTCTTGGTGTTGTTCTTTTGTCAAGGACGAAAGGTCAACAACTCCAAGGTAATGAAGTAAAGCAGCAACAACTGCAGTTGTCATAGCTGCAGATGATCCCAATCCAGTTTTTGCGACTTCTGGTTTGCATTCTCCATTTGATTCTTCAGCATTGAAGGTAATTGAAGTGAAAGGTGGAAGGGAAGCCAATGATTCTGGTGTCAAAGGGAGTTTACGTGCTTCAATCTACATGCACACACACACAAAAGTCAAAAGAAGAAAGAAAGAGTTACAACAAATTACATCTTGATTTATAATCATCTTGAAACAATGAGAATTCAAATGAAACATATTCTTTAAAAAGCTTCCAAAAACATGATAATCACAAATGGGAAAGCAAACATATTAAAAATGTCCACGTATAGAAAATATATATTCATATATCTTTTGCATTAAGCAAGTTGTAGTTTTATGGATTCTTCCCAAAACCGTGACAAAGACCATCAGGGACATGTGTACCAGCCCAAAACCAAGGTCTGGTTTAATTCTTGCTGGGGTTGCCATGAAAAAGCTACATGGTAATGTTGAATTAATATTTTTGCCTTATCACTTCCAAATATGTAATGAAAATATACAACAGCCGATGAATTACAAACGCATAGATAAAAGCAAGAAGAACAAAGCATTTCAAGCAACAACCACAACAACCATGATATCACCATGGTAGAGAATAGCACAGTGGGATATCAGTTGTGGTCTTATGCACATATCAGAGAAAACACAGAAAGAAAACGAATGGTTTCAGCATCATGCTGGGGAACAATCGGAGAGTCGCAGTTCATCATTGAGAGCAATAAAGTTGTTGAAGAATATATATTTGTAGCAAAAATGCTGCTTTAAGTTATTTCAAGACTTGGGTATGAAAATCTAAAAATTTTGTGCACTGCATATGTAACTTTATTATTAGAATTGTACTCGGGGTCTTTTTACAAAAAGCTTTTCCTGTTTTACACCTCTTTTTTGGTAACCCATGAGTCGCCCTGGTCAGGACCGGCATCATCAAATCCATTCGCAACAATTACTTTGCAGCTTCCTTTAATTCTTGTGCACTTTTATATGTTATTATCTTTTAAGTCTCAGTTAAATGGTATCACCACCTCTTAATAAGGGGCACAACAGGTTTGAACACAAACCCACCCTTGCACATGCACACGCACATGCACATGCAAAGATGGGATGTTTTCACCACCATACAAGCCAAGAAGAAAAACTTTCTTTGCATGTATGGCATTCATTCTAGTTAGAAATTTGTTTATTTTTCCTCATTTTCTTGCAAAAATTTTTCTCTGATTTCACATTCTAGCACCATTAGCCTATCCAAACAAAAGAAAACATAAAATGGGCCAATGCTTGGTGCACTGGAATAATGCTCAGGTTGTCAAACATGATAACACGGTTTCAAATCTTGTAAGCAGCCACTTAATGCAAATAATGCCAAAGGTTAAGTCTCTATCAACTTGACCCTCCCAGCATCATTGAATAGCAGGGACTACATTTGGTAAAGACCCTTATGACCTTCCACTCTTGATGGTCGAGAATGTGTAAAGATGTCACTAAGCCTAGCAAAGAGTAAGAGTGAAATTCCTATACAGGTAAGAAAATTTTCAAACCTCATATTCAATCTAAACATTGGCAGCAAAAAAGTTAAAATTATGGTAACCAGAAAAAATATGACTCAGTTAAGAGTGAAATTTCATTAAAAAAATTTTCCAAAATCCTCGGAGTTCTAGAAGAAACTACTCCAGGAAACGCAAATGCTAAAAGGTTCCTACAGAAATAACTTTTGCGTCAAGTCATTGTTGCCAAATATTACACAATTGAAAGACAAGAACAGTAAATTAAAATTCTCACAAATCCATGGAAGGATACAAATGTGGGATACATTTTTAAAGCCAAAACTTGTCAAAAAGATAAACTACAGGTACAAGAAAGGAAAAAATAAACAAGGAAAAGGAAGTACGATGGAAAATGTATAATACCTGATTCCGATACGAATAGAAGTCATTGCAACCCAATATTGTAATATCAAGACCTGCATGACTAAATAAGTTGACATTAGACTTTTAAGGTCCTTTATTTTTTGTAGTAAAAGCAAACATGTGAAGCATCAAACATTACCTTGCAAAAGTAGTTTGTGTAAAGCATCCTTCTTATTCTCGTCAAATGTTGCATGTGCTGCTGCAACAGCATATTGCACTGCATATTCTACAAAAGGGTTCCCTGATTCACTGAAATTTTTTAAACAATAACAATCAATGCAACCATAAACATGCACGATCACAGACATTCAGTCATAGATAAAAAGTGAATCAATATCTAGAGGCATAAAAAGATGACAGAAATATTCATTTAGAGTACATAAACACAGCACTACCAATAAGAACTTACCTTGAAGAGACACTCTGAAGTGTTAAATCTTTTAGTGACATTTTGTACAAAGTTTCTCTCAACATCTGAGGAGATGTTAATTTCACATCCGTCCATACCTGAAAGGTGATAGATAGACAACAAAGATTACAAATATTCAACACAACAATAACATATTATATAGGAAAAAAAAACAATAAATATTCCTCAATAAAAACTGAAGGCAAAATAACATTACTGGAATATTTTCACAATAAGTATTCCTAAATAAAACTAAGGCAACAATTAATTGGTAGTTCTCAACAGTAGTAGATGAATAAAGTAAGAAGCCTAAAGACTCTGATCGCAGACACAAAAGTTGTAACAGAAAACATGAATAGATTCTCAACAATAACATTTCCTGTTTTGATGTATCCATTTAAGGACTATTGATAATCTACATTATTAAATTTTAAAAACAAATTTTTATGAAAAATCTCTAAAATTTTTCCTTTTTACTTTTTACCCTTTTAAGAGAATAGGCTAGTTATTCTCAATTATTTTCCGTAGCAGAAGAAAAAGGGGAAAAATCTCTAATGCAAATAGAGTGAAGTCAAATTTGGTTGCCTCCAGATCAACCACCAGCTTTCAATTATCAAAAGTATTTGAATTTGTCATGTCAGCATAAAATGAGAGAAATAGATGCAAAAGCATATTACTAAATTCATGAATAATCACAAAACACCCTTATGTGTTCAACAATGGATAAAAAGAAGCAACATTGTACTAAATGGATATATTTTGACACCTATTGCTAGCATCAGTCCCAATTTTACTGCCTTAATTCAATACAATAAGCATTGCATCCAGAAATTTCAGAGTATCCCAAGAACATAATAATATCCCATATTATAAAAAATCTAAACAATAATGAGAAAACACGAATTAACATGCATAGTTAATTTTAACAATGGAGTATGAAAAAAGAAAAAAATAGTTGAGAATCACACACCCATGCCCAGCTATCGGGTTTCATTTCCTCATAAAGCGGCTTCACAACCGCGTAGAATCGAGCATTTGTACTGAGTACAATCCCCGCTTTAGGCCTCTCCAGAATAAGGTAACCCCCAGTCATCAAAACCTTCCCAGGAGCAGAAGCAACTCTGTTCAACCATCAGGAAAATCAAATATATAATAAAAACCTAAATTTCAGTGAAACAAAACTTAATAGGAATGATTCAGATCAGATCATCAGATGCATATTGAGGTAAAATTATTAAAACCAACAGATAAATGAAAAAAAAAAAAAAAACAAAAACAAAAACTTACACAGCCATTTTTCTTCAATTTTCAATCTGACTGTGAAAACTGAGATTCAACTGAGACAATCTGCAACGAAAGTCACTGCATTCACTGTGATGTAAAAGAAAAACTAACCCTTTGTTTGGTAGCTGAGAAAGTGTTGGATAATAAGAAGAAAATTAAAATCCGAATCTGATTAAACAAGTAAACTAAACCTTCAGCACAGTCTGACTGAGTTTAATCAAGCTGAACGAATTAACACTACACTTTTTCATTTACCCCCCATTTTCTCAGCTACCAAACTATTGAACTGAAAGGGAAAAACATTACAAGCTAATTGAATACAAAAGGCTTAGATTTAGATACTGATTTCAATACTGTAGATTGATCACTAATCAGTGATCTCTGATGACTAATCAATGAATTTGAATCTTCCTTAAATTTTGACAAATTACCTATAGATACAGATGCAAATATATACATATATATGTGTGTGTTATAGAGAGAAGAGAGAGAGAATGTCACCGCCGGTGAGTCACGGGCAAGTCCTTGATTCGCTGTGTTGAACGGAGCGAAGACGACAAGACACAGTTTCGGTTTTGACGATCAAAAATACTTGTAGTAGCATGAATTGGGACTCGAATGGACCCACTTTACTCACCAACCAATGCGGCCGATTTCTTTCTCTCATTTTTTAAGTGAAAGGGCCTGTGGCTGCACTTTGTTGAAGTCCAAGCTTAGTAGGTGAAAGGAGACGGTAAATTATTATTTTTTCCAAATATATATATAAATATATAAAATAAATTATACAGAATCCAAAATTGACACGAGTTGTTGGGCTGCCCAACCCGAGCCCGAACTAACCCGACCTCGGGTTGGACCGGACCAGCCTGAACGCAACATTGTCCTCGGGTCAGTTCGGGTCAAGCCCAGTTCTGAAATTTTCGGGTCTACCAGGTTTTTGATTTTTTTTTTTTTTGGGGGTGGGGGCCACTGAAGCCCCAAGTCTGAAACACATATCAAACCTAAAAATTATAAATAAATAAACAAAAATTATTTGTCCAAAAATTTAGAATTCGAAGGAAGTTTTACCATTTTTCTAAAAAATTAAGATTCTCTTGTTAATAAAAAAAAGAAAAACTAAGATTCTCTTCTATATGTATATATATATATCAAACAAAATCCTATAATTTTTTTTGGGTATTGGTAACTTAGTCACACAATTCGTTACTAATTCGCGATTTCTCTACAAATTTACTTTATATAGCTAAATTTGTTAGAATCCCAATGATATGGTACACCTATATTATTATATATGCATTTATTACTTAAATTTCAATGTACTCTTAGTATATGGCGTTATTATACTACCACACACACATATATATATATATATATTAATTATATATGTTTGAAAATATCCTACTAAAAAACTTTTCAATTAAAGAATATTACAAATATTACATATAAATAATCATGAAAATATTTACATATGAATTTAAATAAATAAAAATATATATGTAATATAATTTTATTTAAACAAAATGCTCTAAAAAAATTTAAAGTTTTTACACTTTCGCGCTGCCGCTCCTGCCCTCGGTCCAGCTCCGTGTGACTTAGATTGATAATCCATTAAATGCTTTTTTTTTCCTCCCTCTTCAATCTCCCACCAACCAAACCTTCTGTCCCTTTTTTTTTTTTTAGCTTCATATATCACATGAATTTAGAGAGAGAAGGAGAGAAACTTTGCATACCAAATTTTTATATTAGGAGTACAGTGCCTGTGCGTGATGGAGTGATTGCAAAGCAGCAAAGGTGAAGTGGGAGGTTGAGCAACAACCACCACAACAACAGGTGGTGGCCTTCAATGCTTTGAATCAGTCTGCAATACTGCTAATAGAAATATATATGAAAACAGAAGAAGTGTCTTTGGGCTGGGGGCGGCAAGGAGGGGAGGCACGGTGACGGCGACGGCAAGGAGGGGAGGTGGCGGCGGCGAGACGAGGAGGCTGTGGCGAGGTGGGATGAAAGGACTGTAGGAGATATTAGGTTTTAGGTTTTAAATAAATAAATAAATTGGGTTCGGGTTGAACTAGAGCCCAACCCAAAATGTCTCGGGCTAAATAATTTCAGCCCGAGTCCAATCCGAAATTGTAATAAGTTAATCCGACCCGTAAAATTTCAGGTTGGCCCGGCTCAGCCCGCCCAACTTTATGAATAATTTTTCAATAAATAAAATAAAATTCAATGTTCACCGAAACGCATCATGTGTAACATCTAAAAGTTTTGTAGTAACCGAAATTTATTCTAATTTCTTTGGGCTTATCGGGGAAAATATTGAAACAAAAAAGGTAATTGTTTGATGAATGTGAAACGGAAATTATATATGTCAGTAATAAATTATAAAGTGTTTTAAAATTTTAGATACTACCACTTTTGACAAAAAAAATTAAAAATTATAATTTTAGATTTAGATTTATATTTTTTTGTGCAAATTAATGTTTGAATACTTTATATTCGACTCATATAAGCACAATTTTTATTTAATAAAAGTAAAAAGTATAAAAAATTATATCTCAACAATAGAAGAACACTCGATTCTCACATCTTTCGTGTTTGTCTCATTGATCTGTGATCTCAACGCTTTAGTACCAACCTTTCCCAAATTTATTGAATTTTTTTGAAGTTGTTTTAGACCTAACTATATTCAGATTTATATTCCAAATGATGATAAACTTTTTCGTTCTCACTAAATTAAAAAAATAAAAAAACCTGACACGTAAGCACCAAGAGTACTTGGCAAATTATTAGTTTCATTCATGCCGTTAATCTAGCACTCCAGCCAGATGACAATATTTGTTAAATATAAAATGTTTGTATGGGAGTCTATTGGATCAGGGTCGATTCGAATTCAATAAGCATAATAAGCAATTCTCGTATAATCGATCCATATCCAAAATTCACTTTATTAAATGTCTGATCCGATAAATCCGATTCGCTTACAAAAACACAATAAAGCAAATTGATACAAAATTAGGATAACAAAGAGATATATGGGTTTTTGTATCAAAAGAAGGAAAAAACCGGGAAAGAGGGAAGAAGAATGTAAAGAAGGAAGAAAATAAAGAGGTAACTTTTACTGGAAAAATTAGGGCTTTCTAATTCAATTAAATAATACACAAAGAAATTTTTTTCAAAATATAAGAAAGGGTAGAAAATAACTAACAAGAAATCGTTGACTCCCCCCCCCCTCACCTACGTTTTTCTGACTAGAAACACAAGTGCAATACCGACTTTACAGTGGCCTGAGTTTTGTTCTTGTGGCTTGAATCTATGGGCAAAAGATTTATTACCATATTGATGGAAAAACGATAGTATTGTATATATACATTGTGATTAATTTAATTTTTTTTCTTAAACCTATACAAATCATATATGATATATGATATATATAATAATATTTTATTTTAATAGGATCGAATTATTAATAGATTGGATCAACCTTAATTCAAATTCGATTTGTTAAATTATCGGATTTGATTCTCAATTCATATCCGACTAAACGGATTGAATACGAATTAAAATTATATTTAGATTGGATTCGAATCAAAATCCGAGAACTGGCCTAAAAATTAGTGGTTGAATGGAAAAGCAAATTGGGATGAAATAAAAAAAAACATTTTCCTTCTCCACCAATGTTATTGGCCAAAACAATTAGTCATACATGAAGCATGAATTCCACCATTCTTTGTTGGCATCACTTTTTCTTTATTTAGAAAATGCCACAATTCTTATCTCTTTCTTTTTTTTTATTATTATTTTTTTAAAAGTTTACCTATGAGAAAAGAAAAGAAATAAAATAATTTAATTTTTTTTTGGAATTTAGTTAGATAGAAAAGGAAAAGTTCTAGAAAATTATAATTTTCGTGACTCCCTATTTTTCCTCAAAAAATTTCCTGTACAAAAGACAGAAATTTTTTATTTTCGTGTAAAAGCAATGCCTTATTATTTTGCTTTTCTATTTACTCAATAATTTTATTGATATTATTTTACTCAATAATTTTATTGATATTATTTTACCCAACAACTTTATGACCAACACTACCTTTTTTTTTTATGTTTTCAAAGAATTGCAGTCCGACAATGACCTTATCATTAATAGAGTTTGAATTAACTTGACTTTAGTTCTTAGTTAATTTCCATAATATATATGAAAATTATATAACTACTAGTTTGCAAGGCAAAAAATAAGGACACTTTAGGTATCTAAACTATTCTTACAATTTTCTTGAATAATTTTTCATCCTAACCAACTGCATGCTAAAAAATTATTATTATTATTTTTTCATTCACTTCACTTCACTTTTCTTTTCATTTTTTATTTCATTTCTTACTATTTCCATCTCACTAAAAAGAGCCTTAAAGGAAAATTATTTGATACAAGTAATAGATAAAATCATTAACATTATTATGATATTACTTCCTATTCATATAAAAATAGTCAAAGTTTATTCTTTTTTTGAGAGGGCTGCAAAGTAATCTTTGTGGAGAGACAACTTAAAATATTTTAGTGTTAAATACAAATACGGAATAAAATTAGAGAATCATATCTATTTTGATCGGTCTCTCTTTCTTTTTTTCTTTTTATTTTTTTAATTGTATAGTTCATATTCTATTTTAAAACAAATCCTGCCCTAATAAAACTTTCTCCTTCGCTTTCATTTTCAATCATTAGATTCATTTTCCTTGAATGAGTGACTGAAAAAAAAAAAAAATTTAATTGATCATATGGCCACTCAAAAAAATCAAATCTTTATTCTAGTCAAACTTTTAAGACTAATAATGCCTATTATCTTTTCTTTTATAGATTCATTCACATGGCCTTGTTATATTTATGGAATATGAATGAAATTACTTTGTTTTTGATACGGAATAAAATTAAGTTGTTGTGAATAAGATACCAATACTGAACATATCATAAACAACAAAAATGTGACAATAACAAAGAAATTCAAAGTAACTTGATTATCATACAATTATTGAACTGAAAGAAATTTCAGAATAATTAATAGGGATGTACAAAATAACTGTGAAACCGGATCAAATTAGGGTTTCGATTATGATTTTCACGATTTCGATTTTAGTCCCTAAAAATTAAAAATCGACAATCTTACTGTTCCGAATCCGAATCCAAACCCGTAATATATTTGATTACATTATTAGCAACTCTAAAGATAAACCAAACAAAAAAAATATTTTTAGGGCAAATCATTTCAGCCTCCCTAGTTGCCTCCATCTCTATTATGGTTCTCAAATCTGAACTTGCCCTCTCTCTACAACTGCAAACTACAAAATCTAGAAGAATCAGAAGTTGAAAACCCTTATATTTCAGTTTATCTATTTGTCTGCAAGAATCAAAAGTTGAAAACCCATATTGGCATACCATTTCAAATTGTTCAAAAAATCAAAACCCATATCTTTCAATTTCCATCGCCCGCTAAAGATACAAGAAATTCTTTCTTCACTCTCTCTCTAGTATTCCTTTCTCTCAACCCCCAAAAAGATACCCTTTTCTTTACCTTACTCCTCCTATTTATAGAGGTTTACAAATATTGATGGACTGCTGGATCTAGGCCCGTTCCTCCATGAGTCCCGGTCCTCTTTGATG